TGGCTCCGCTCATGTAGATAAAAAATCAATTGCGGTCTTAGCCCAAAGGGTATTATCCAAAATTGTTTCCGGTAGTTGTTTCCTCTCCACTTCATCTGCCGGAATGGTACTGGCCGGTAACTTATACGAAAGCCAACAGTCATCCATCATGTCCGGCACGTGAGGGGGCTTCTCAATAATTCGATATATTACGCTGTGTGAATCGGGCTCTAGAATGTTGGGAGAGACCTCTTCAACGATAACAGTGGCCTCTTGAACGGTGGGAGGGGACTCTTGAGGGACGATAGGGGCCTCTTGAACGATAGGGGAGGCCTCTTGAACGATGACAGGTGAGTCGGGTTTTTTCTTACGGATTCATCGCACTATTGGGGTGAACGGAGACATAATGACACGTGCACGCCGTCTGATGCATGAACTCCGTCTTGCAAGAAAAACCCGACGTAGAGCATCCACCTTAGCGGGCCGCTAAAAATAAATTAATACATAAATCAGTAAATAAAGACATGATATTAAATAGTGAAAACAAAGACAAATATATTTCAAACTTGCACGGTATTCACCCAAGTCATTATTATATCATTGTTCACAAAATGCATCAGATAACATTCCAGAAGTAAGCACTATATAAAAATTTAAAATGACAACATATAGGTTTAGTGCAGGTTCAATGACAACATAAAGAGTAGTAGTTTATTCTTGAAACTTAAATTTTCAACACTGTGAAGTTAGTATTTATCTTTTGGTTGAAGTAATGCAATTCATTCAAGTTTCAATTTGCAGAAGAATAATAAAATCTGAAACTTAAAATCGCAACGCGAAAATGACTATCGCAATGCGAAAATGACTATCGCAATGCGAATTTAACTATTGCAACGAGAGAATCGCAATGCAATTTTCATTTCGCATTGCGATTCTTTCGTTGCGATAATCAAATTCGCATTGCGATAGTCATTTTCGCATTGCGATAGTCATTTTCGCGTTGCGATAGTCATTTTCGCGTTGTGATAATCATTTTTGCGTTGCGATAGTCATTTTCGCGTTGCGATAGTTATTTTCGCATTGCGATTTTGTTGTTGCGATTTTCATTTCACATTGCGATTCTCTCGTTGCAATAGTCATTTTCGCTTTGCGATAGTCATTTTCGCATTGCGATAATAAACTATTCTTCTTCTGCAAATTGAAACTTGAATGGATTGCATTACTTCAACCAAAAGACAACCAAAACAAATACTAACTTCACAGGGTTAAAGAATAAACAGTTAAACAGTATTGGCAGCAACCGAATGAATTTACTAAGCAATCTAAGTGAAATTACGAGTAAATTTATTATCAAGTTAAATATGAAAAATATTAAACTTATCTCGTTGCGTAGAGTATGAACCTCATTCTGCAATGATGCTACAATCTCACGTAGAGCTGCTACCTCACCACGTAAAGTAGACACCTCAACACGCCATGCACCATTGTCATCGGGTAAAGTACCGACCTCCTCACGCAAGGCATTGACCTCATTACGTAACTCCCCTAACTCATCCCGTGGAGGTGGAGGTGAAGAACAGGGAGATAACCGTCGTGGCATCTTTTTCGGTCGCCTATCATGAGGTGATGGTGGAGAAGAGGCTCGATGATGTGACAGAATAGGTGATGACTCTCGTTATGGAGGTGTATATTCGGGTCGATCAGTTGATGGCTCTGGGTGAGGTGATGGCTCTCGAAGTGGTGGCTGCTCATCATCCGTGCCATCAAAAAAAAGCTTACAGCTTGCCACCAATCAGTGGCAAGCTCAGCTTCCGTGGGTGTCAACCTCTGTAATGGAGTGTTGGCCTCCTAACAATATAAAAGCTCAAACAAAGTTAAACGTGTATTATTATTAACTTGTTTATAAACATATGGTAGTATTTGTGTTAACTTACATTATTTATTGTAGTATACGGTAGTAAATCTTCCCATTGCTGCAAGGACCGTTTCCTCTTCCAGGAAATAGCCCTAGGAATATCATTAGAAGTTTTTAATGCATATGTCTTCATGGCGGGAAAGGCCTCAAATATCCAAATCTACAAACAATATAATAACAAACATTAGTAATTGTTAAAGAATTAATTATAATTTTGGAAACATTATATAAAAATTATTACCTTAAAGGCCCAAATAAAGCCTGACAAAGTATATTTGGAACCATCGCCACGCAAACTTTTCCGATCATTAAAGGCAGACGACAACTTATTCCATGTAGCTCTCATAGATACGAACCCCACGGAAACAGGTTCTATGCATTTAGGTCCTCTACCAATTTAATTAGATCATTAGGAATAGGTTGTCGGGTCTCTCTGCCTAAAAAGTCGGCTTGCAAAAGTATTAGAAGGCATACTCGGACAACATTGACGTCATCCATCCGAGTAAAACCATCTTTCTTATTCAATAATCTCGTCAAGTCTTCCACGTGTAAATTCGACTTCTACGTTGACAGATCAGGAAAAACCCAGGAAAACCATGATAGGTGGGTAATATGTCTAGTGTACCGATCTACATCATCGTGTCCGAAGCGTAGACCGGTGATTAAGCAAAACTCATCCCGCCCAAAACACATATACGCCGGTGGAAAATCAAACCATATCTCTTCATCACGACGTTGTATAGTCTCTGGTAGATCGCTAGTCATGGTTTGAAGAAACAGATGGGTCAACATAGCATCTTCACTCGGATGTTGTACTTTCAGCCATGGCCCGAAGCAAGTATCCTCAAATATTTTTCTTTGTGCAGGTGAAAGCTTCGACGCAATTGTTTTGGCCAGGCTTACTTTATTTCTTAAGGTCAATTGAGCCGAATAAAAGTTCTACAAAAACAATAAACATACCAATTTAGATATACCAAAAACTACACTGTGAAGATATGAACAATAAACATAATGAGTAGTAGGTTATTTTTCAAACTTAAATTTGCAACAATATGAATTTAGTATTTGTTTTTTGGTTGAAGTAATGCAATTCATTCAAGTTTCAATTTGCAGAAGAATAATAGTTTCTAAAACTTTAAATCACAACACGAAAATGAAAATCGCAACACGAAAATGACTATCGCAACGCGAATTTAACTATCGCAACGTAAGAATCGCAACGCGAAATGAAAATCGCAACGACAGAATCGCATTGCGATAGTCATTCTCGGTTTCAAATACTAAAATTGAAAGAAACTTGAATGGATTGCATTACTTCAACCAAAAGATAAAACAAAGACAAATACTAACTTCACAGGGTTAAAGACTAAACAGTTTAGCAGTATTGGTAACAATCGAATGAATATAATAAGCAATCTAAGTGAAATGATTAATCTATTATTGAAAACACCAGTAAACTTATCATCAATTTCAATATGAAAAACCTAATAATAATGCAAAAATTTCAAAATAAAAATAATTAAAAAAACTAACCCTCGGTGGCTGATTTTCCATTTCTGACCGTGAATGATTTCGCCGGAGATAGAGACTGATATCGTCGGAGATGGGGACGGATGTCACCTTAGAGAGTGAGAGATGGAGATGAGACTGAGTTGTGATTTAGGGTTTTAGGTTATGAGTTGCGATTACGGGATATACTGTGGAAGGTTCAGTGTTCCGATATATTAATATATTCGTGTTTGGAATTTGAAAAAAAAATACGCGTTGGATACGAATGGCGCTATGTAAATCGCATTGCGATAGTCAGATTCACATTGCGATTTACGTATTCGCATTGCGATTTACGTATTCGCATTGCGATTTACGTATTCGCATTGCGATTTTCCAAATTCGCGTTGCGATTTACGTATTCGCATTGCGAATTAGGAAAATCGCAACGCAAATTTGGAAAATCGCAATGCGATAGTCAGAATCGCGTTGTGAATCTGGAAACTGATTTGCGATACCGGAGATCGCGTTGCGAATTATCGATCGCATTGCGATTTAGTTGGTCATTTTGGCAAATCCAAAAAAATATTGGTTAAAATCGTATATTATAATGTATTTTTTGTCACTGAAATTATTTTCTCTTTAAAAAATACATACGCCAAAAAAGTTTCTTATTTTCATATAAATATATGTAAACAATAATTCTCATGATACAATAAATTGAGTCAAATTTGTTTATTAAAAATTTATAATTAATAAGAAATGTTTGACACAATTCAAACTTACTTTGGAAGACCAATTCAATACAAAACTTAAAATCAACATGTGATAAAAAACAAAATTGTTTAATAGGTCATACTAATATATTATCAATTTGCTTAACAATGGCACATAGTATGCTCATATATTTGATTAGTTTGGTTGAAGACTTTTCACTTTTTAGATAGTTTATTGAGTGAAAGATAAAATTAATATTTTTTATTAAATTAAGGTGATTATAAAATAATATATATTATAAATATTTTTAATTATTTAACAATGAATATTCAATTATCCTGCTATAGTCACTGATGTTCAAACACATGACCTCTAAAAACAATAACGATTCCTTTAATTGGTGAAGTAAGTTGGTTTATGCATAAAATTAATATGATAATAATAATAATATAAAAATTATTATTCATTGTTTTAATATTATATATAATTGAAGTATTATTTTAGTTAAAATATAATTAATTTCTATAAATATAAAATAAAAATTTTAAAAAATAAGAGAGATTAACATACAATGTTTAGAGTTTAGTTAATTTAACGTCCAATTTTATTGGATAAATTAATTAAGCATAATCATCTCATTGGGCATCCCAAAGCAACAGAAGTCTCATTAATTTCCCAACATGGGTGCACTGAACCAAACGCAAGAAGTCAAAACGGAGAGAGATGGGGGCGCGTGTTGTACACGTTCTTGTGAATTCGTCATCCGATAACGATACGATGCTAATGTTTTAAAAAAAACAAAAAAGTCAAAGCATCGGCCAATCAGCTTTCATTCCGATGATAAAGACAAAAATCCTTCAACGATAAAACCCACAGCCCACTCTTTGCAAACATTTCAAAAAACCTTCTTTTCCCTCTACCTATTCCCCTCGATTTGAATTTCCTGTTTGGATAAGAGGAAAATCGAATGGAAATGGAAAGAAAATCAGACACCAGTTCAAGCTCCGGCCTCCCACCTGGTTTCAGATTCCACCCCACAGATGAAGAATTAATCATATTTTACCTCAAAAACCAGGCCAAATCAAAGACATGCCCCGCTTCAATAATCCCAGAAGTTGATATTTACAAATTTGATCCATGGCAATTGCCTGGTTAGTTTAATATCATCCCAAATTATCATATTTTTGTTCATCTCTTATGCTTAAACTGAATCGGATTTTTTTTTGGGTAGACAAAACAGAGTTCGGCGAAAATGAATGGTATTTCTTCACCCCACGAGATCGAAAGTATCCAAACGGAGTTCGTCCGAACAGGGCGACTGTTTCCGGCTACTGGAAGGCCACCGGAACCGATAAAGCTATATACAGTGATTATAAATACGTCGGGGTGAAGAAAGCTCTTGTCTTCTACAATGGCAGACCACCAAAGGGTGTCAAAACAAATTGGATTATGCACGAATACAGATTAAACGATTCGCGAAAGCAAATCAGGGGGCAAAATGGATCCATGAGAGTAAGATTCGCTTGTCCCTGTTTGGTCATGCTCATCAACTGTTCGTTGAAATTGCCGTGTGAACCGTTTTGTGTGTTTTTCTTTTCAGCTGGATGATTGGGTGCTTTGTAGAATCTACAAGAAGAAGAGTTCGGCCGGGAAAGCTTTGGATCAAAAAATTGAAGCATCGAACGCACAGATCGACGGTGGAAGCCAGCAATTGTTGAAATTCCCAATAACATGCTCGCTTTCTCAGTTACCGGAAATGGATTACATGGTTCCGATTTCGCATCTTCTGGCCGAAAATACTTACGGTTCAATCTTTGATTTCACTAACCCTATTGCTAATACCGGGATTGAAGAAGATGATAAGCTTCAGGTTGGAGAATTACCTCATAATTACTACATTACCGATTCTGGGAAATTTCAAGTGAACCAGAATGGGAGCTTAACAAATCATCCTACCATGTTTCAATTTCAGTAGTATATAAGAAAATGGATCACCTTTATCCATTCTGAAAAATTTGTAAAAAAACTTATTGCTTGCTGATAATATATTTTAGATTGATTAATTGGTCCGCATAATTACTTTGAGATTATAGTTTATATATCAAATTAAGATTAAACAAAATTAGTTAAACCCAAATTTAATTTGGATGGTCCTTATATATTCCTTTTAATTATTATCCTTAGATAAATTTGAATAAAGTTTAAATTTCATCACTCAATTTTCTTTTCACTTTTGTTTTGTTAACTAAATTTAATTTTTTTAATTGACCCACTAAAATTTTGATTTACTCTTATTTTGGTCATTATGTCGTTAATTATTTAATGGCATTATGACATGACATTTTTCTTTTAAAAGTTATGAAATGACTTTATTTTTTTTTTGTTGAGAAAACTCAGTTTCAAATTCCAACAATGGAGAGGTGGTAGAGGAGGGAGTGAGTTTTACATCTTGATTCCACGTTGATCGTATGATGGATATTATAAGTCTTAGAGTGGTAGGATATGAGAGATGATGAGACGAGTTCGTTGACATCTTTAAGAATATGAGAAGACATCAAAGAAGGATAATTTCAACACTAACATGAGACATGGATGAAATTATAAAATTTTCTTTAAATAAAAAAGAAAAGAAAAGGGGGAAATGACTTGTACGCCATTCCAACATGATTTATATTACTTCATCTTTAAATAAGATAACTAATAAAAAGTTTAACGAGTAAATTAAAAAAAATTAAATTATAATGACCGAAATTAATTAAAAAGAAGGAAGGAACCGAGATTGACACAAACCGTTGTGGAATGTGGATAAGTACGCCGTCCAAATGAGAAACCTGGGAAACGAGATGGTCAAAAACACCTTGTGGGGACAGCAGCAATGTTGCGTCTAGAATTGCTGCAATGCTTTGTTTTTTTGTCGTTTACACGTATGATAGTCATTTATTTTATTAGAATGTAAGATTATATTTAGGAATAATATTATTTATTAGAAAATTATATTATTTTGTTTGATTTGTTTAACAGAAATGTGAGATTATAATGTTTGGTTGAAGGAATATAAGATTACTTGAATGTATATTTTATCAAATTATCCTTGTGATATATTTTTAAAAAGTTAAACTTTAATATTAATTTATAAATATTTGAATGAAGATTCATAAAAATATTTTAATAGTTATACTATCTAATTTTTGAGGAGAAATTACATTTAATATATAATTAATATAATTAGTATATTAAATTTATATTTTTATATAATGGTCATAAGTACCATATTTATTTATATAAAATATAATATAAAAAATAATATTATGATAGTAAAATATTATTTAAATAAATACATTTTTACAATAATACTATTTTTTCATCCCATAAAATTATAAATAGTAAAAGATTGAAAATTAAAAATATAAAATATTTTAAATTCTCAAAATTATTAATATTTTAGTAAATCAAACTCTCTGTATATTATTATTGTTTTTATAATTTTGAGTAAAGTATAAAAAAAATAAGAATTAAGAAGGATCATTATAAAAAAAATTCTTAGTACAAGGGTATTCTTGTCCAAAGTGATGGGAATGTAATATTACCTAAGAATTTGGAGGTAATGACGTTTCCACCATTTTAACCAAAAATTCTACTATTGGGAAAATAATATTCCCATTAATGTAAGATTTCATGAACCAAACGTGGGAATACAATTCCGGGAAAAAAAAACATTCCCCTTGGTAATGTAAGATTTTGCGAACCAAACGCACCCTAAGGGTGTTAAAAAAACTCAAAACTGTTAACCGATATAATCATTATATTTAACAGGTTAATTAATCGAACCGTTAATACTAAACGGTTTCGGTTAATCGAACTGCTAAAAATGATAATTAACGATTAAGTCACGGTTACGAATTTTGATAAACAATTAACAATGGTTAACCGTTAATAAATAAAATTTATAATTAATTTTCTAATTTATTATATTTTTACACAAATAACTTAATATAAGTTTCTATTATTTATAATTTATATATATATATATATTTAATAAAATTTGTATACAAATAACTTAATATATATATTTTTTATTTTTATTTCTTTGAAAAATATAGAAACATATTTACACGGATATAATTATATATTTATTGTTAGATACTAAGATATTGAGAGATGTATATACTTACATCAGTGTAAATATGTGTTAAGTTCTACATTTTTTTATTTTATTTACTTACACTGTTGTAAGTATGTGTTAAGTGATATACTTTTTTATTTTATTCACTTACACCGATGTAAGTATGTGTTAAGTGCTACATTTTTTTTATAATATGAATTATGAAAAAAATTTGACAAATAATTGTAATAGATTAACATGTAACTAAATCGTTAATAACGATTAACCGTTTTTTAATGGTTAGATTACGATTAAAAAAACCACATAAACGTTATAATGATTAATCGACCGTTTAAGCTAAACAGTACGGTTAACCATCCATGAACAATCCTATTATACACACCTCTTAATGATTATGGTAAAAATAAAAATCCGGACGATGACATGTAGAAATATGATGATATGTATTGTTTTTAGGGTAAATTACAAGTTTAGTATCTAAACTATTAATTTTAGTCTGTTTTAGTATCTAAACTTTTAATTTTTTCAAAGTTATACCTAAAAGTTTAGTTTTTGTTTCGTTTTAGTATCCCTTTAAAATTCAAGGTTAAATTTTGGAAAAAATAGAAAATTTAGGTACTAATTCAGACTCAAATTAATAGTTTAAGTACTAAACGTGTTTCTTTTCACTCTTATTTTGATTAAAATTTGTTTAATATTTTTAAACATGTTCAAATAAATGTTTTAGTTTTTAAAATGATCTAATAAAGTCCTAATATATTTTTCAATATCCTCGATTGAGGGCTAACATTTTTTTAATAGAGTCAAATATTAAAGAAAATGAATTGTTACAAAAAAAATTAAGTCTAATAAGTAAATTTCAAAATTTTTGGATCATACGATGTTCCGGTGGTAAAAGAATTGTTGTTATTCTTTAAGGTTCCGGATTTGAGCACCAGGAATGACAAGGGTGTGAGCGTTCAATGTCAAATGGTTGAGAGTTATTTTTAAACAGATAGTACGTTGTACTTAGCTCAGATTAATAAAAAGAATTATATTAGATCATTAGTTACCCAAAAGCTTAAGTTAATTGAGAGAAACTCAATTATTGTATTTAACTTTTGATATGATTAGAGTAATCACATTTGGTCGGGTGATCAAGTTGCTCATCTTTTTTCTTTTATATTTACTTATGTTATGAATTTTAGACCTATTACAGTACTCTTCTTTCTTTTTGTAGAACTTTCTCTTTCATCTTCCTCTAATAAGATTAGAATTTGATTTAAAATTTGTCAATTTCTTTTATATAAATTAATAATATAATTTAAGTACTTAGGGTTTTACCCAAATAATTTGGTAATGTTGAGTTAAGGAGGCAAAGAGACGTGTAATTAACGTTTTTAAAACCTATATGCGAAGAATGTTGATACAGTTGTACTTATAATTCACCAATTAATTCATAGCTGAAAACCCTTATATGAAATAACAATTTCCCCTATTAGTTCATCAACAAATTAGATTTCATTACATAAATTTTAATCCAAAAAGTGGAAATTCGAGACGATTTTTTTTTAGTTTTTTTTTTCTTTTAATACGGACGCAACATGGTGCTGGTGATGCTAGTTTGCATGCTCATTTCTTTAATCTTTATTCACAGATTGAACCAAAGGAACAGAAAGGATCCCAAAACACAGCCACTCATCGGAACGATTGAATGCACGACTGACTCGTGAGTACCTGTCCGAATCGAGAACTGTCGCGGTTCCGATGCCGTTCAGAACTTATACTTGATGGAATCAAAGGGCGTCCTGGAGAATGATATCTTGCGTGATGGAATCAACGTAAAAGCAGTAAGTAGGGTTACTTGCTAGATAAGATACTAAGTTTTCGGTATAAAGAGGTTCCAGACTTATATATGATGGTACAAAAAAACAGAATCCGAACGCCAAACCTACACATCAATGTACCGTAATGTGTCAAATACATAGAGAGATGCGTTGTTTCATCGTTGCATTGAATCAGCGGTGAGAGATGGCAATGGCCGACGAAACAATAACAAGCATAAGTACCAAAACTGAAACGAAAGAGGCGATCAACGATCCCGACGTGCGCTCGCAGAAGGAATCCAATTGTTGGCAAACTGCGGACCAATTGGCCTGAGCATTCCCTTCGTGTGCTAAATACACGATTGAGGCGGCCGCTGAAGCTCCAGCGGTGACCAAGGCCAGCATTGCCTGGAACAATAAATAAATAGAAAAGACATGCAAGATCAGAAGTTATCGTAAAAATAAGTTTAAGATGCCCCGAAACTAAAGTTCATTATCATCTTCACCGTGTCGAACATGACAAAGACGAGTCGACTGTTATTCGTCGCTCTCTTGATGATATGGTAGAAAGACAGGGGAAGAGAAAGCACGAGATAGGCACACGCAACCGAATTGGCAATCACAAAGAACCTGTAAAGATTATGTGACACATTAAGAACATTCGAAATAAGAGTCGGAACGTAACATTATCGGTAGATAACTCACGTGAACATGGGAAGATCACTAAATTTGGGATTCAGTAGGATGGACTGAGACACCAATGGAACAGTTTCTTCAGCGGTACCCATTGCCATAGCACTCGCTAGTGTTCCGCCGGCGGCAAGGAATCTCAGTACGAATTCTAGTACGGCAACCCCATTGATCATAGAGTTTTCCGGGTTCGTCTCGTGGGATGTTTCACCGGATTCAACCGATAACGTCTTCATTATTCCATTGCCGAAGCTCTTGTTTTTCCTTCTTTGGACCTCCAAGGTAAGTTTATATTAATTAATGGGTGAAAGATGTGACCATTTATAATATTGTTGCCTAAGCAAATCTGGGTTTTCTTTTTCTCTTAACACTGTTTCAGTAAAAACAAAACAAGAACAGAGGGGGAATTAGGTTAATTTGCTTCCGTAACATATCATGTCATTTTCTTAAACCCTAACCTTACCCGCTCCTCCTTGTCTCAATCTTAGATATTATAAACATAACACGAAAACGACATACAAAAGTTAATAAAATCATCATTTTTAATTACAAAATTAATTTTGATTTCTTTAAGAAAATTAGAGACAAATGTTTACATGTAATCCTAGATACGAGTGGCAAGGATCTATCAATATAGAATTGAAGCCAATAATCTAGTTTCTGGGTCATGATAAAACTAAAATATTTGAATGAATTACTTTCGGAGCGGGTCGAAATTGAGAAATTTTCATTTATTTAGAAGTTAAAAGGACTAAGTTGGCTTTTTCATTTTTGAGGTGGGCTAAAACTACAATTGCACCCTTTAAACCTATGGGCCAGAAGTGGAAGCCCAACAGTCTTTATTAGCCATCCATGCAGCAGATTGAAGGCTGCTTGCTTTTATTTTTGGTGTCAACGTCTTTACATATATCGGTTTAAAAGTTTAAATAAAAATTATTCTATTAAATAGAATAAAACAATAAGAGTGATATATTCTGATTACTAATTCAATTGTACTTCATAACAATTATATTTGATTCTAACACACACACATATATATAGGCAAGATCGTATCACACTCGGTTTAAAATTAAAAGTTTTACACATTTTTAGAATTATTAGATAAGAGAAATCAAATGCTGAGATTAACAGTAAGAAATGGAAAAGAATTTACTGAAGAAAAAACATAAATTAATTTTAGTTTTCGATTTCTCCTCTTCTAACTGTAATAAAAGGTATACAAATTGACACCGGATGTTAATAGATTTAACTCATATATATATATATATATATATATATATATATATATATATATATATATATATATATATATATATATATTGTTTAAATTGAATTGATATTCTATCACCCCGTAATACTATCTCAATTAAAAATTATTAAATAATTTACTAGTGGAGTTGTTATATATATTACCACAAAATATAGTACTTTGTTCTTGTTTTTTTTTCCTGCTTTTATATCCAAGTGGTTGGCTGTTGGATTCTTTGTTGTTTGAAAGAGAAAGCTGCTTGCCCTTTCCATAACATCAAATTTCATGTTTATCTACTCAATCCAGGCCCTACAAACCCCTTTTTTTCCCCTTATCATGTGGATATGTTTCAATAAAAATCCGAATTATTATTCGATTTAGATTTAGAATTAGAATTTTAACATTTATAGTAATTGTTATTAATACTAATGTAGCTATGGGAACCCAACTCCCGATGTGCTTAGAATATTATTTATATGGCAAGTACATAATTGAAATCAGAGTCTGATTTAATTTACAAGTTGTGCCACTCTTGCTATTACCTATATTGGTCCATTTCCTTCTTTCATGTGTTTTCATGGAAGTTGAGTGATCGAGACAAGGCTGCCGGGTTCGCTTGCAGCACCGAGAATGTTCTCAGTCGATAACTTCTGTCGTCGTCACCGGTTTTCGATCGGAAGCCATCGAAGATACCTCCTGAGTTCATGGTGTTCTTGGTTTTGATCATGAGGGCCGCCACCATCGAGCTTTTCGCAGTATCGTCGATCCTCAAAGCTTTCGAATTTGAAGCTCCGTTCTCCGGTTTAACGCTGTCTTCTTCGTCCCTGGAATGTTTTCCCGGTGCCGGTGAGTAGAAAGTTGCCGGAAATCCAGGACGGTAAAGAGCCGGTGGCGGTGGCGGAGGCAAATGAGAAGAATTACCAAACGAGAGAACAGCACTGGCTTGACCTCGAAGGATAGCTTCGGATATCATAACGTGATGATGGTAATGCAAAGCGGCGGCGGAGGAAGAAGAGCTTTTAGCTTTACGACGGCCGGCGCCGACCGGAACGTTCCTCATGGCTCCACCGGCGGTCCAGTATCTCTGACAGTTTTTGCAGAAATGACGGGGCTGTTTCACGTTGTAATTGTTGTAGTAACAAAACTTGGTTTCGTTACTATTACATCGTGGGCAAGGAAGTATCTTGTCGGGCTTCTTTAATGTCTTCTCTTCGTTCTTGGAGCTTTCGGACAAAGGGATCCTGCCATTGTCGTCTTCTTCATGCTTCTCCTAAAAACCAGAACTTCAAACACTTAAATTTCAAGCATAATTTTCGGTTATATTCACTGGGTTTTCATGCTTAAGCTATTTCAAACGTCATCAATGGTGGGTTCATTGAAACTTAACCCTTAAGAAATTAGATCAAAACAGATAAAGGACAACTTACTTGAAGATCAAGAAACATAAAATAATGTTTTTGCTCAATTGCGTGGAAGCAATCGGCGCCAACCTGAAATGATTGTTTAAAACTGTAAGAAAATAACATTTCTCACAGGAAAAAAAAAGATTGTTTTTTTCTGGTTAAAACTTTTCAAAATTCAGAACTTAATTTGAACAAATCAACCCCAAAACAGATCACCCTTAAGTCATCAAGATTTGCAGGAGGAAGAAGAAGAAGAAGAACAAATTACAGAACTGAGTCAACGACAGAGTTTCATTAAAAACCTCGAAATAAACTAAAGCAAATTTGAACAAATTACCTTGTCTTCTTCCATGGGAGGCTGAGCTTGAATCCCATGATTAGAATTAGAAGGAGAAAGAAGATTTGTGCCACAACAATGATCGACTAAAGCTTCATCCCGGTTCAATGTCAGCAATGGAATCAACTTGCCGAACAGCTTAAGTTCAGACATGACTGACTAATATCTTGTTGTAGTGATATTTCTAACTAAACCAAACCTCTTTTTTCTGTTTGTTTTGTCAGAAAAAAATGATTCCAGTTATGTTGGTGAATTAATGGAGGGAGTCTGGGGAAGAAGACTAAAGAGGCCCAAAGGCGTTCGGCTTAAAAAACAGGGGTGGGGAATGCCAAGTAAGCAAGTGAGAAAGAGGGAAAGACAATTGAGAACCACAAATTTTGTGGACTTTTAAGATCTTTTCATTCTCTTATATTCCTCCACATTGCTTAAAAAGATAGTGCCTTTTTTTTCCTCCTTTTTCTCTCTCATTAAACACATGATAGGTATTTCATCAAGTATTATTTTTTATAAGTATTATTTTTAAAAAAAACTTTTGAGTCCAATATGAAATTTGAGTCCAATCAAAATAAATATATTAGTTGACCCTATTCCCATATGTAATGGAGGTAAGGGGAGGTATAATTGTAGGCTACCCCCAATGCCAGATTGAGAGCAGCTTCCGTGGGAGACCTCCGGCAGTTAGAATTATATAAATTGTATTTATATTCAATCATAATTATTTATAATTTTATGATACTAATTAGTTTCAATGTAAATAATTTTTTCTAATAATATATATAAATATTCATATTATTTTTAATATATGTAAGTAAAGATTGTAATATTATTTAATAAATTAAGGTTATATAAATTTATATAATATATCTATAATATATTCACATTTAATCAATTGGTTAAGCTGATCATCTTTGGTCGCTCATATTTCCTTTGGTCAAGAGTTCTAGACTGCTAAGGACACTCTACATCCTTTTTCTAGAGTCTTTCCTTCCCTTCTCCTCTAAGTAGGATTGTGATTGTATTAAGAATTTGTCAGAGAGAGAGAGAGAGAATGAATTTGATTATAAAGTATTTATGGACATATAAAGGAGTTAAAAAATTGATAAGAAGAAAAAAAAATGTAAAGAGTCGAGGCTAGAGGATTAAATTGAAAAAATGCAAAGTTAAGAGATTAAATTTTTAGAAAAAAAAGTCAAAAAGGTATAGATGTTATCCATGTATTCTATAATGGTTGAAGAATATATAATTTAAATTTGATAAAAAAAAATGATATTAAAACAAACAAATGAAAAGAAATAAGATAATCAGTGATCAAATCAAAAAATACTCAAATTATTTAGCTAAAGTTAAAAAAATTGATGTAGTTTTAATATTCAATTTCTTGGTTATTCGAAATTTTAAAATTTAAACTTGATTTGAACTCAAAATTTAAGCTATTATTTATAGTTGACTCGAATCAAACAACTCAGATAATTTGAAATTAAAAAAATTAAACCAGATTGAATATTACTCACTCCTAATTACACATATACCCTCATTTATTTTCTTCATTTCTCTCAAGGCTTAGTAGTTAGTACTCATTTTTACTCTAGAATTATATTTTTTTCACTCTTGGTATTTATTTATCTTATTTAACTTCATTTTTTTCACTCATTTTTCTCGTTTTTATTCTTATTGGAAATTTTTTTAGAAAAAACGTTGTAAACTTGAATGTAAATGATAATTTAGGTATTAATGTGAAAAAAATTAAATACCAAATTAAAAAAGAAGCTATAATTCAAGGGCTAAAATGAAAATTAAGCCTTTTTTCCTGAATACTTGGTTCTTATTTTCTCAAATACATGCCTTGTGTGTTTTTTCCTTTCTTTGATCAAATGATAGCCTTCACTAACCAAAGAAACCTAAAACGTTTCACATTATTTTAAGCATAAATGCATAATTCAAACCCTTCACTATTCAAATCAATTTTAATTGATTTATAAAAAAAAAACGACAACAAAAAATTAGCTGTTAAGTGACTTAATTTAAAAGTTTATGATATTTTTTACTAAAAAATATATATGATTATGTGACGAACATAAATATGTTTAAAAGTTAGGTGACTAAATATGTAGTTTATCTAATACTAAAATACTTAACTGCTTATGTATAACTAGGGTTTCTTTAGAAAATATATTCGAGTCGGTTTAGATTCAGGTTTAGGGTGAGAAATATGATTCGATCTGATCGTAAATAAAAATATATATATATTTATGAATAATTACAATAATAATTCTCTATATATTATTTTTAATTAGATCCTTGATTTTACTAAATAAAATAAGATTTATTTTGGATCTGATCGAATTTAAAATTTATCTCAAAATATCAAATTGGATTTAAATCGGATGAAGTCATACTTAAATCTGGGTCATATCAGATTTCAGATGAGAGTATTTCGGGTCAGGTCATATTAACTAAAATTCGACCCGACCTATGCCATCCTTATGTATAACACATGAGCTGTCAATGCCAACATCGACATGGAACAAGTGACCCATCTGCCTTGCCAAGCACACCTCAGCACATATTCCTGTGTCGGTCCCGCCAGCTAAAGTGAAACGGCAAATATTCATTCTAAACAACGTCTCATCCTCGCCGTTCATCTTTATTCACACTGATGTTTTGACACGTGTGTCTTCTGCTCTGACCGGCAACCGACATCACCGGTATTTCCGCGGGCAGGAAATGAGTTCGATTGTAAAAGGATTCTTGTTTCTACATTTTAGGAGGTGTTTGGTTCGTGGTTTTTAGAATTATGTTTTCATATTTGGTTTACGAAAATTATTATTATTATGTAATAATTTATTACTAATAATAGTAATTTTGGGTTAAAATGATAGAAATATCGTTACTTCTAAATTCTTAGGTAATGAATAATTTTTATTACTTCGGACATAAATACCCTTGAAATAATAAATTCTTTAATATAGATCATTTTCAAATTTTATTCTTTGTATTTTACTCAAAATTATAAACTTAATAGTAATTATATACAAAGAGTTTAATTTAGTAAAATATTGATAAATTTATATAGTTAAAATTATGAATAAATGATATTCATACCTTAAATTTGACCTTTCTAAAAGGAATTTGATGGTTCTTGAAAATAAATGAAGGCTTAAGATAGAAATGTTAGGTCAAAAACTTGGGAATATGAAATCAAACTCACAGGGAAACGACACTATTAGTGGAATGAAGAAAGTGGAAGAAGATGAGTTGTAGGTCACTTTGCAATCACTTTTTGTATCACATCCAATTCCATCAAGCCTTTTCTTTTATGGTATCTCATTGGCTATATGCCCCACTATCATACTTATCCCCCTAACTTAATTTAGTAGTGAAAGGTGCATTTAAAACCACATTGAATCCATAACTAGATTGTACATCAATTTGGTGCCAAAGCAAGAAAGAATTGTTGGTATATTTGTATGCTCATTCCATCCATTAGGAGATGCTTTAGTAGTTTAGCTTTCATGATAATATTGTATTCCTACATGTGAAAAAGGAGGCAAAGTTAGACAACTTTATATAATATATATTATATAAATATAAAATATGTTCCATGATAATATAATTATATTATCGACTGTGATTCTGTGTAAATCTATATGATGAAAAAGATGAACACATCCCACTACAGCTGTCCCAAGCAACATTTTACCATCAACGATTATGTAGGTAACTTCAGTTTATGACCAATCTTTTGAATCATGTCTTGCACATGGTGTTTGTTCTATTACCAGAGCTTCGTTGCACGACAGTGGACGTTAAAAGGAAATTGCAGGTTGATCCCATGATTACACCATCAGCCACCACCTTGTCCGAGAAAAATCTCAAATGCTCGTGGTGGAACGAGGTGGATCACTTCATGGCAATGCCTTGGTGTCGAGTAAAAGGTTTTTTGAGTCTACTCATTGATTCAAACCGGAGCTGCTTCTTCAGCAGCACGAGATTGGTGAAGTAATCGTTGATGGGTTGACATTACAAATTCTGCAAATTCTCCATGTGAGAGTAGCCTCAAAAGTTCGAAATTTATTTATAATCATCAATATGTACATGGTTTTCAAATAAGAACAAACAAATTCTTTCGCGATTCTTCTAATTCTGGGTTTCATTTTCATTGCCAAAACCAGTTGAAGGACCGTTATTGAAAGAAAATCTAACCCAAATCTCCCTCTCCTCGCCTCTCTTCTTGCCATTCTCTTCATCATGGACAGGCATCTTGTACCGGCAAACAGGGCAAGAGCCATGAATTTCAAGCCATTTCTCTATACACTCACCGTGAAACTTGTGCTTGCAAGGCATCCCCTTTGCAACCTCCTTTGACTTCCACTGCTCCAAGCAAACCACGCACTCTCCATCTTCATCTTCACCGATGTCAACGCTCGGCATGGCTTCTATCGATGCCTTGGAAGCAGGCGGGTGACCGTCTTTGTTAGCCCACCCGCGTACCAAAGCTTCCAAATTTGAAGCTCCCTCGATCACCACCATGCCCTGAGTAAACGGGTTGACAAGGATTGTTCTTTCACGTTGTGGCGCTGTTTCTTGATCTGGGTTTTCGGTGCTTTGTCTTGAAACGTCGTCGTTGTCGTTGTCGGAGGATCTCAAGACGAAGGGTAGAAACAAATAGAGCTCTCTGTGCCTTAACACTCTTTCAAACAAAGAAGAAACCGGAGGAGCTTCAGTTTCAGAAGCCATGGGAACTTCGAAAAAGAGAAGAAAGGTGGAGACTTTTGAGTTCTAAAATGAATCGATTAATGAAAAAAAGTGATGGGATTAGGGGAAATCACCAGGTAATAGAATCGAGAGATCCACAGATTCGTTAAGAAGGTTGTGGAAAGATCTGGAATGTTGATTAATGAGAAACTGTTGTCACTTACAAAACACGTTGAGTGAGATAACAGTTAATGTCTTTGAATTTGATTATGTTAATATTTTCTCAGGTAAAGTACATAAATAGTTTTTATGTATAAAATACTGATTTATTAATTTTTTCGATTATTTAAAATTATAAAATATTTTTTTAATTATAGAAAATTATTTATTTTAGTTCATTAACTATTAAAAATTATAAAATAAGCACTTGATTATTCATTATACTTCAAATTCGTCATTTTCAATTAAAAAATTTAATGAGAATCTAAGTTGTACATTAACTTGTTAACTGAGATATGATAAAATCTGAATCTCATAATTTTAAATTATTATTATATCTCATTCAACATATTAATGTTTAACTCAGACCAGAGGCGGACCCAGGATAAAAATTCAAGGTTGCAAAAGTCTCAGTGGTGACACTTTTGAGGGGTGACACTTGTGGAGGGGTTTCTTGGGATACCCGGACACCATGGAGGTCCGCCCCTGACTCAGACAATTATTAATTTTTTAACAAAAAATAACGAGTTTGAAACATAATAAATAATCGAACGATCATTTTATAATTTTAATATTAAAAATAAAATAACTTTTGATAATCAAAAGATTTAATAATATAATATTTTATAATCGATGACGTGCGTCCAGCTTCTCTTTGATTTTTTTTTTAATTTTTTGCTCTGCGGAAACGGAAAACTTTATTCATTTTTATTTTTTTGAATTCAACCTAATATTGAACATACTAAATAAAAGCAGCAAAAAGGTTTGATTTTCACTTGGCTACGATTTTTTTCCATGTTTAATAGAACATATTTTTATTGAAAGTAATTAATTTTATTCAAAATAAGAAATATATCAAATTATAATAAAAATTTATAATTAAAATCATAAATTAAGTATATAAGTAAGACAATTCATCATAATCGTTTAAACACAACTAGTAACTTAAGATCATAAGGACCATACGAGAAAAAAATTAAAAATCTAATCAAGAAACTCTAACAATAATATATACAAATAGATCTGATCGCATCGGCAAATAAACCATAAAAAAGATCAAGTTATTAAAAGAACACCGACAAACTCGTAAATTAGATTTTATGGACGTGTGAAAAGCTATCAACAAATGCAAAACGAATATCCAAATCCACTCCGAAGATCCAAAGAAAGAAAAATCAACAAGATATCAGGAAATTACTATCTTAATCAGTCTTGACGATATCAAATCAATCTTTAAAAAAATCAAACAATCAAAAAATATGCCAAAAACAAAAGAAAAATACCACAAATGCAAACTTAATGAAAATAAAAAATTAAAGAAAATAGATATGCAATATAATAAAAGAAAAATACAATAAATAATACCGACGATCGATAATCAACATTAAAATTAATACCGTTATCATTTATCAAAAACGAAAAAAAATAAAAATAAATGACACATCAACAAGAGAAAACTAATTTTTTTCAAAATAAAATAGATTTAAAAAATGCAGAGCGTGTCCTTATTAATGCGACAAAACTTAATCGGGTGTATATTATTTAAGATCAAAACAAAAGGAAATAAATGAATGGACCAAAAATGTAAAAGGAAAAAACAGTAGAATTTTATTTAAAAAGAAGTAACGTGCTTATTATGTATGACTGCAAACATAATTAGGGTTAAACGAGACACATTGTTTGTGTACATGCATGCCATCCACGTATAATTATAAAATAATATTTATTTAAAATATTTTTTTAATCTATTAATAATGTACGTATACTCGATAAACGTAAAAATTAATATTCTTTTTCATAATGGATTCAATATCTACGCATTTGTGCAGTATTTATGTCTACCATTTCCCAATCACTCATGTTGGTTACTATCTATGCCCTACAAAAAAGATTTCTTATTATACAATAATATATAATGAGTAACCCCGTCAACCTACTATCAAAATATCATTAAAAGAGCAAAAGAAACAAAAGGACCACCAAAACACCTTCTCTTACTCTGATTTTTCCTCAGGCGGATCGATCGAACCAGCAATGGCTGGTCGGTTTCCTCCTCCATTTCCGGTCGAGTTAAAGTTAGCACCGGAAAAGTGCTGGTTGTGAAATGTAGTCGTCGGTTTTCGTTCGTCAAAGAACCTAGAAGGAACCATTGCATACCTTATGAATTGCCACAGCACATAGCTCTTTTTGTCTCCTGGAGCTTCTGCCATAAACACATCATCTCTCTTGGACCTTGATAGTGAGCAATGACATAACCATCCTTGCAACCCTCGTTAAAGATCCTCTCTTCCTTCTCGTACCGGACTTCTAAACCGACTTTTATCATATCCGCGATCCAAATCCCCATCGCCACATCTTCGAGCTTGAACATCTGTTGTTTACACGAAATATTTAATCAACATTGGCCAGTGACTGTGTTTTGCATGAATCAAAACAACAAAAATAGGAGGTGGTCGAAAAGTTTCATTTGTACCTTTAAGCGTACTTCATTAAACCTCTTGTAAACAGCCTTCGCTATGTCGTTGGACACCACATAACCAGGACCATGTGCCCAAGGTGGGTACCTATCTTCGGACCATTCCTTCATTGGAAATGATAGCAAGAACATAGTAAGCACTGGAAGATAATTTTTATCCGATTACGGGTAAACATAATGGTGATTTGTAGCTAAAATGAAGATAATGCAAATTAACAGAAGCTAGCATAGTTCTTCATTCCACTCGGTGCTCATATCAAACAAAAATTTGAGGGAATCGAGTGAAGAATTACCTCGGGACTAATATACCACTTGCTATCTGTACTGCGATGAGGTTGGGAATCTGAGTTAATGAGTCCATAAAGCAATCCATGAGTCACATTTATCCTGCTTAATGAAGCCATTACTTCGTCCAAACGAATGAATGCATCATCATCAGTCTTCATGACAAACTTTCCAGAAACAACTTGTGTCTGTAGGAGAGATGAAGTCTAAGAAAATGAACAATTTTGCATATTCAAACAAAGGGAACAAGACTTTACCCCGAAGGTGCAAATAGCCAAAGTTTTCCAGGTGATCAGGCTGTAGTAATCAACAAAAGGCATCAGCTGTACGTCTCCATATGTCCGTGCTTCATTCCATAGTTCATCATTCACAATATGGTTTTTATGCTGCAGAACATCTCAAATTCGGTAAGTGATTATGTAAGAGGCTTAGATAACCATAAAACTTAAAACCACAAACTCGAAAATAGTTTCAAGATAGAAACAATACAGATTTTGGCACCAAAGTTTCCAACTGTCTAACTATTTTCTAACAGCAGTTAATGCTTCTGGCATAAAATCATAAGCATTCTAGAGGTGCAACGATGGATTGAGAACATGATCAAGATTCAAGAACCATATATGATTCTCTCTTACCATGATAGAACTAGAATCACCCAAGCGTCCAAATTAGAACTATTTTGAGTGAGAAATTCACAAGGAGATCTTACCAAACCAACAAAAAAGCGCACTACAACCATCCCAGATCGAACTTCGGGATACTGCATCCATGTTCTTCTCACAGCCATCCTTCTCTTAAAATTATTGGCTGTAGAGAAAACACCAATAAAGAGATCGACGGGTCTGTGAAGAGAAAGAGGAACTGATTTAAGTGCTTCTATATCAACTGTATGGTCTGAATCCTCTGAAGTGGGTAAACCACTAGCCAGCACAGAGATTAATTTCACATCTCCAGAAATTCTAACCTCACTAACAAGCCATGGCTCCAATGTCTGAACATAAGAGCAGCAAAAAAGTCATTAAGTTTAATAAAACTATTAATTATTGAACAAATTCTACAAGATGAGGATTCAGAAATTACTTCTCGGTAAGCAAAGGATGTTATGTGCTTCCCATCAACTGTCATCTGTATTCCCTCTGATCCTACTCTAACTGTTGCAACGAAAAGAGAACCTTGCTTAAAAGGAAAATATCTTCTGGATTTAATCCCTAGCAGCCCCATTGAAGACTTCCTTGAACCATGGGAACGCACTCTTACCGTCAGGTTATCATCTTTACCCACAAACTTATTGCATTGGTCCAACTCATCCACTGTAGAAATAAATAAGTAGAAATTTACATGAGGTGGAAATATTCTTTTTCATTGCACATAATGAAGGTAAAGCATTTTTATAGCTAGTCATTAATTGATTTCATTAAGCATAGAGTTTCATGCTAGACAAAGCCTCAAGACAATAGGTTGAAGAACCTTTGAAGTTGATGAAACTTTCAGACTCCTTTAATGTGTTATCCAGAAGAGAGGACAATTACACGGACCTTAATTTAACATAAAACAAGAGGAAAGACCCTAAATTTTTTGCACTAAAAGTATCAAAAAGATGTAACGAGTCTTTCTACCTTTATTATTCTTTTCAGATGTTTCTGGCGGACAACGCTCCTCTTCACCCCAATCATGAGCTAAGGTCCAGGTGTTTTGCACAATTACCGAGTCCTCGGTTATCTTATCCCCATGAAGTCTAATGTTGTAGTGCAAAATTATTGGTGGATCAGGCTCCCCAGGAAGTGCTTCCCCTGTTAAATCAATGCGAAAATCACCAAGAACACCATTTGGAATGCCAATGATTGTAATGGAAGAACCTTGAGTGAGGCCACAAGGAACTCGTAACTTGAAGTGACTCTCAGGTTCTGTAGCATTCATTTTATTAAGAAACTGGGGACATTGCTTCTCTTTTGCTTTTCTAGATGAATTGTCATTCACATAACCAAGCTTTTCCTCTTCGACTGAAGCCATCAAGCTATTCCATGCACTTCCAGCTTCCTTGATAGCCTCTATTCCATTTGGCAAAGCATGAGAATGATTAATTAAGTTCTTCAACAAATTCCAGGTGAGCAAAGACTGTTGCTCTCCCTTGGAGAGGTTCCTTTGAGCAAAGAGACTTAAGGCTATGATATCAAAGGAAATTACTTGAGAAGCATTTCCTGGATTCTGAAGTGCAGGTGGAGCTGTAAAACGCACCCATTCAAGTGGATTGGTTCCATTAAAAGAGAAGGGATTCATCAAGTAGCTTTCTTCAACAGGATTTTTCATAAAACCATATCTCAGCAGCAGCAACATAAACAGAGATGCAACTACAGCACCACCGTACCATTTCTTCATTCTGCCAACCATACAGCCACATCAGTGCTTTTGCAAACAACTGGGAAATAAGTAAGTTTATTTGCAAAATACTTAAAGAGTTAGAATATGGATGCACTTTGGACAGACAGTCAACAGTCTAAGATTAAATGCTGAATGATCATTTCACCTCTTCAAATGGGGCTTTTCAGCTTTCATTTTCAACCTGCCGTCCAACTGAGCCAACTACCAAAATTTGCAAGCCTCACCTTTCGGCTTAAAAGCTTGAAACTTCTTCAACCATGAAGCAGTTTCATGAAATATTCATCGTCATGCATCGGCCATAAGATTATCACACTGACAGAAAAGGAAACCAATCAGCCCATTAGAAAATGCATCAAATTTTGCCACTAAAACGAAGTAACACATCCATAATACTAATAAAACGAGAAACAGTTCAACAGAACAAACAAGCACACACTCCAAAAACTAAAGCAAATCAAACCGAAGACCTGGCCATATTCTTTTTCCGCTTACAAAGTTGATAAGCTATACCAAGTTCATCCCGAGACAAGTGTCATACATTTCGTAAACATCAGTACCATCATTATAATTTATAAAACACTAACCTAACATTTTCCCCAAGCAAACAATATCCAATTCGCAGCAGCCACCGTAGACTATTAAGATGTACAAGTCAATTGTATAAAGCTGTCTCACCCCAACTGCTCTTTTGGAGGGAGTTGTTGAGCTTACTGTTTCAATGGATATATTATATTCATGTTGACTGAAACAAACAGGAAACTTTGTACATATAAAATTATATAAAATAACTAAATAAAACTTGAGACGCATAACTATAGCAAACGAGAAGAACTTAAAACTTCAAAGAATAAACTATTTCTTGTTATAAATTATAATTCTGCCCCAGAGAAACCGTGAATTATATTTTCTTTAATTGAAACTATAGACATGGAATTTATTCTCATTTTATATCAAAAAGTCATAAAATCGTTTTCTTTATACAACACGAAAATGTCATTGCCGTATCAGAATTCGCTTTGGCTGGGGAAAATTTTAAATAAATAAAATGAAAATTAACCGTCATTACTCATTACAGCTATGATTGGCACGCGAGAAAATGTAGGAAAAGAAAGAAAAGTAAAATAGAAAGAAAATTCCGAATTTTTTATCGATCAAATCTCGGATTCAACTGTATGATATTTTCCCTGCCGGAACTTAGCAAAATTGCTAGTTTGCTACCATACTATAATTGAAACAAGTTTCAAACAATAAACTTTAAAATTCTCATAAAGAAAACGAAGGATATAAAAAAATCAAGATTTCAGTTCCCTCCTCATCTTCTAATCAGCTCATGTTTCCCCGCAAACCAAACTAAAACAGAAAAAAATGCACCAACCCACAACCCAAAAAAAGAAGTTTCGAGACAGATCCAAGCGCATTGAACTAAATCTAAACTTAACAACGCAAACGCGAAGATCTAAAGCGAAAATTGATTAAAAGAACTGAATAAAAAACATTTCTGTATTAAAAAATTTCAACAAAAAGCTGAACTAAAAATGAACACTGTAAGCAAAAATGAAGAAGAAAAACTACAAGTTCCAGCGAGATCAAAGACTGAAGCTTACCTACGAGGAGAGAAATCGCAGAGAGAATTTGAAGATAAAGCTTTCGGAAACAGGATTTGGATCTCTGTCGTTTTGGACTTTGTTTTTTGAACTTTGAGGTCGTTTAAAGCTAAACGGTGGGAAATAGAACCGTTCCCCGTCTTACCAAGTAACAGAGTTTGTGCGTTTGTTGACTGACTTGTAATTTTATTTTATTTTTAATCAATTAAATAACATAAAACCGACTAGACTATTTTTTATATTTCCTTTTTTGCCCTTTCGCCTTTAGCCTTTTACTAGCATCCGCTGATTAGACCTTGACTGGAATGCCTAATGGTATATGTACGCGTGGCAAATTGTCGTCTGCTTTCTCTTCCTTTTTGTTTTTCTTAGAATATAATGATAAATTTAATTTTTAATACTTATATCTTTAACAAATTGGTTCTAATTTTTTAATTGAATTTTTAATTAATCTTTGTTTTTCACCAAATTGGTGTATTTTTTTAGTTTTTCTATAAAAAAAAGATATCGTGGGTAGGAATGAGTATGAGTCGGGTTGAATTTTCGATCAATCTGACTCAATACAAAAAAATAGACCTCTTTCACCTGAGTTTTATCTGACTCGAGTCTAGAGTGATTTATGTTATCTCAAAATTTGACCCGAGTGTTTTTAAATAAAATTCGAACCCTACTCGACCGAAATAAATATATTTATAAAAAATATCAATTTTACTTCAATAAAATAAGGATATAATTAAAAATAATATAAAGATTGATATTCTTGCAATTATCCATAAATATATAAAATAAAATAATATTATTTTTGGGTTGGATCGAATATTTTTCATCTTAAATCATAATTTAACCCGACTCGAAATTATACTCTAAAAATCGACCTCAAACCTATTTTTTAAAAAAATATGATCTGATTGAGTCGAAACCCACCGAATTTAGGTATCGTGCCCATACTAGTTGTGGGATTGAATCTTATATCTAATACAAGGATTAAAGTAATCAAACCATATGAGTGGCTAAATAAGTATTACTAAAGTTTGATTTTATAAGTTTTTGAAATAATGTAATAAATGTACTATTTAATTATGTAAGTCGGAACACGTGGCTCCACACGTTGAGACTTTTGATTAAGAAACCGTCGGGGGGCCTATTCGAGAAAGGACATTGCTTTATCCTTTTTTTCCATTTCTGAATAAAAGAGAAAAGCGAGGGGTAAAATCCAAAAATAAGAAAGTAACGGAGGAGTTAAAGAGTAAAAATAAGACAGATAACGTGAAATGCCGACAATGATTGAATATTTCAAGTAACGTAAGAACTTAGATTAATCAATTCGAAAGCAATACTTCACCTCTCCTTTGTTGCCTCATACCATATATATATATATATATATAATTTTTATATTTGTATTTTATAGTTGTATTTTCTATTTTAATATCATGTTTGATGCTGTTAGATCACGTATATCTAATTTTATTAATAAATATTATACATTTTTTGGAGTTGTGTAACTCCGAAAAAAGATAATTATATTAATTAATATTATTTATATTCAAATTTTGATTGGTCTTTAAATTTTAAAATATTATAAATTTTAAAATTTTATTAATCAAAATCCTCAAATGTCAGAAACTAATACACGTAACCTATGAATCGTTCTAAAACAATTTTTAATCTTCTTCAAAATAATAATAGGAACAAGTTTTATTAAATAAAAATTTAAAATAAAATAATAATGTGTCCCCTCTCGTGCGTCAGTCAACAATTTGATAAACACGTGTTAAGGCAGAGGCCCAATTGTGCAATTAATTTATCCATCGCGTTCGCAATGAAGCAGCAATTACTTGACGAAGGGGTTTTAAACTATTCTTTTTTCATATTTTTAACAATAATAAATTTTAAATAAATAATAAATTAAAATTAAATAAATAAATAAGAGACATAGAGAGTATTATTTTTCTTAAAAATTTAAAGATTAAATAATTGTATTTTTATGATGTATATACATCATTAATGATTAAGATTTTTTTTAAATAGAAACTACATTACGATTACTTTAAACTAATATAAAATAATTCATAATTTAAATTTTATCACGGATTAAATTGAATGTATATTTTAAATTTATTTTAAGGATAAACCAAAAAATAATCATCAAACTTTTAGGGTGTTTGTAGTTTAGTCATCAAACTTACAATACACCCATTGGACTTTTAATTCAATTTAATCACGATTATTATCGTTAGTTGCCGTTAAGAAAGGTTGATATGATACATTAGAATTATATTATCTCATAAAACTCTATGTTTCTCATACTAATGGCAATAGCTGACTCTTTTTACTTGTGTCGTCACCCATTAGAATTATATTAAGTTTCAGTTGTGTTTGAGACTTGGATGAGATGATGATAAAACTCTCGTGTAAGGTGGGTGTTGTATTTAGTAACGGTAACGATCGAAAAAATTCCAGATGGTGATGGCACATGCAAAAGGAAACTGATAGTTGCCATTAGTATTATAAAATTAGGATTTTTTTGGGAAAGAAGATAAATATAACGTGTCATGTTAGTATTTCTTAACGGTGTTTGATGCTAACATTAGTGACCGTAATGAAATTGAATTAAAAGTATAATGATCAAAATACAAATACACTAAAAGTTTAGTTCTACTTTTATAATTTTCTCTTAAGTTATTTTTATCTAAATTTATTATGATACAAGTTTGGATATATCTTATTTATCAATGTGATCATACGTCATAATGATTAAATGACTTTGGTTCAAATGATTTTTTTCTTTTGATTGTTAAAGGTGATTACAAAGTAATATATGTTCTATATACTCTTAATTATTTGACAATAAATGTTTAATCATATCCTATAATCGCTGATGTTAGAACCCGTGACCCCGTGACCTATAGGAACAACAATAATTCCTTTAACCACTAAAGTAATTTGATTCGTGCGGTTCAAATGAAATTTTAAAATTCATTCGATAGATAATTACATTGCAAGCTACGCATACTCTCTTATTACGAATTACAAAGATTTTATCAGATGATAACAGGCAATCGTGTGCATCAATTAACTATAAGATTTGCAATGTTTGAACTAAAATATTAAAACTTTGGAAACTGGATGCTTGAACCACATCTAGCCCTTGGCAACAAAGGGCACTCGATGAAGTCTGACCCAGAAGTATCAACACACAAGTAAACTTGATAAAGCTGACTGTTACCGGAAGGATCCACATTGCACTCAATGCCCGGAGTATACCCAATCGCTTCCTTTATAGCATCCCTAAACTCCTCAATTTTATAGAATTCATCGTTCGGTTTGATTCCTACAAACATGAATTTCACATCGAACTCGTTAATCCGGTATTCGTATTCAACACATACTCAAAAAGTCAAAACCCGGATTTGAGTAAAAGAAAATGAATTCCGAATGTACCCGCATTCGTTAAAGCGTAGAGGAGGTTGGCCTTCTTTTCAATGCGATCGTCGCCTCGAAGTATTGACGTTGGTCGAGTTCAGATTCGGAGCATGTCCCGTGCTTGAACCATTCGTGAGTCCAGAACTTGGTTCCGTCGTTGCTAGGACATGAAAGAGTGGGCCATTTCTTCTCCATTGTCCGAATCAGATCTGATATCTATTTGTCGTGTAAATGATAATTTAGTATCAGTGTGAATAAACAATATGTTGAAAAAGTATAATGTAAATAAATAATTGGGAATTTGGGAGCAATTGGTATTATTTTAAGTTGTTGGAACCAAATCGAGACATAAAACAACTTGGGTGGTATGGTTTGGTCTGGTCCCACTCCCAACAACATGGAAAGTAACGAAATGGGTAGTTATAGCTGTTGTCAAGTATTTGGGTGATTCTGATGCACGCCCCTAAAAAATGTTAAAAAAATGATGTTACTTGTTAAATAAGTGATCGATTAAAATTTAGATCGATTATGTTATATTATTTAACCGGAAATATTATCAAGTACAATAATATATTAGGTAGCGCTTATGTAATAGGTAGCGCTTATATTGACTTATTTTCTAACTAAACATGTATATTTAAATCGATAACATTACAAATTTACCTATTACATTATAATTATCGGTTTCCCAATGTTATTATTTTGTTACTGCAAAGTTTTTGTTATTTTATTATTGGGTTTTGCTTAAAATATCCAACTTTTTGTATTAAAAAATGAAAATTCTGATATAAAAATGATCACACAAACACACTTTTTTACTACCGGTTTTGTCATTTCGAGATCGATTTTGTCATATTTTTACTTGTTATATTATTATGAATCGATACATTTTTATAAAGTATTGACACTTTATTGGCGCTATAACTTCTTTTCTTTTAAATTCCAAAAATGTCGATACTTATAATAAAGTATCGACACTATCAACATATCTGGTAGTTCTTTACCGGTTTTATCATTTCGAGACCGATTTAGTCATATTTTTATCTGTTATATTGTTATGGATCGATACATTTTTATAAAGTATCGACACTTTATTAGCACTATAACTTATTCTCTTTTAAATTCAAAAAATGTCGATACTTATAATAAAGTATTAATACTATCAACATATCCGGTAGCGCTTTACCTGTTTTGTCATTTATAGATCGGTTTTGTCATTTTTTTTACCTGTTTTATTGTTATGGATCGATACATTTTTATAAAGTATCGACATTATTAACATATCCGGTAGCGCTTTACCTGTTTTGTCATTTATAGACCGGTTTTGTCATATTTTTACCTGTTATATTGTTATGGATCGATACATTTTTATAAAGTATCGACACTTTCAATATATCCGATAGCGCTTTACCTGTTTTGTCATTTATAGACTGGTTTTGTCATTTTTTTGCCTGTTATATTGTTATGGATCGATACATTTTTATAAAGTATCGACACTTTCAATATATCCGGTAGCGCTTTACCTGTTTTGTCATTTTTTTACTTGTTATATTGTTATGGATAGATACATTTTTATAAAGTATCGACACTTTCAATATATCCGGTAGCGCTTTACCTGTTTTGTCATTTATAGACCGGTTTTGTCATTTTTTTACTTGTTATATTGTTATGGATCAATATATTTTTATAAAATATCGACACAAACCGACAAGCTAAGTTTGCCGGTTGCCAAATTTTTTAATATTTCTTCATGATTTCCACCTATTACATTATTATTACTTGATATTTCCTGTAGAGCTAAACCAAATTTATCAAATATCTTTTAATATATCTGATAACGCTGTATATTAACCGTATATTAGTCCGCCTTTCCAGAGACAATCCCAAAATATTTTGATTAAAGTGAGAAGAAAAAGTACCGTTATTATCTAACCAAATAGATTATGTATTTATAAAAAAAAAAGTATATTTAAATTTAGGGTAAAGAACGTAAATGTATCCCGACTATAGGATATTTTTTATTAAGTATCTCGATTATTAAAAATTACAAAATGATCATTTAATTATAGAATGTTACTTTATTAAGTCTTTCAATTATAAAAATTATAAAATGGGCACCCAACTATTTATTATCTTGCAAACTCGTCATTTTCTGTTAAAAAATGTATGATATTTTGAGTTGATCGTTAACTTGTAGGTTGTGATATAATAAAATATGATCACAAAATCTCAAATGACTATTATATCTCAATCATCAACATCCAACTTAAACAACCGTCAATTTTTTAACGGAAAAGGACGAGTCTGGAACATAATGAATAATCGGGAGACAATTTTGTAACTTTTAATAGTCAAGGGACTCAACAAAGCAACAATCCATAGTTGAAGGATCATTCTGTAACTTCTAATAGTCGAGAGACTTAATAAAATAATATCTTATAGTCAAGGGACCATTTGCGTTTTTTACCCTAAAATTTATACATACATGAATTCGATTAGTATCATCTATTAACATGTAATATCAGATTCAAATCTTAAAACAACTCTTTCGAATAGTGTGACAAAGATATTGTACCTCGGATTTGTCGAAACGAGAGTCGGGATCGCAATTGGAAGGGTAGCCGCCGCCGTTGTAATTAGGCCAGAGTCCATGGATCCCAAAATCTGCAGCAGGCTTCCCTGTCTTCGGATAACAACAACGCTGCTTTGAATCGCAGTAGGATCCAGGCCACTGTAAGGTAAGCACGAACCAATATCATAACTCAAACTCCAAAACACGAGTTATACGAAAATTAGATAGATGGATAGATATATATAATAAAAAAAAAGTGATTTCGTCTTGTTCGTTTACCTGTTGAACAAAGTAGAAGAAATCAAAATCTTGTGAAAAGCAACGAACCGAAAAGTATTGCAGTACGAAAAGGTTTATGAAAAAGATCGAACATGCGTTGAGTTTCATGTTTTCAGAGGTTTTTTTTTGTCCGAAACAAATGATGAAGGTTGGGTTTTGACAGATGGATGTATTTATAAGGCAAGAAGGGTGCTAAGGGCATGGGATATTCATGGCAGCATATGCTTGTCATTTGCCGTTGATTGCATGTTTTAAGTTGTTCTCCAATGAACTTTTTATGTGCTTGAAGTTATATTTTAGTGGATTTAAACTAGCTTTTAAGTGGTGGTTAAGCAGTTAATTAATTGTGTTTTTCAATTAAAGATTACTATTTTGGCTTAGCCAATCCTATTGCGTGCAGATCAACACTTTATTCAACTCTATACCTAACCAATGTGTAATGAAATGACATAATGCAAAATGGTCGGAAAAAAAGAGAAGGGAAAAAATGGGTCACTTTCAGTTTGGGTTGTGTTTTTCTTCATCTTGTAGCAAATGAAATCTTACAATTTTGCTTGTACAACTTACATATTTGGCTTAAAGGAAAACATCCCACGATCGAAATTAGAGCAAGGAAGCAACCGTCCAAAACAATTTCCCAGATAAAGCTTACCTTTTGCTTTACACTTTGGTAAATCACGCTTTTCACTTTGTTTTTAGCATCTCTAGTCCACGTTACAAATATCAAAATAATATTTTAAAGGGAAAACTACGTAATATCTAAATATTTAATTCTTTTAAAATTTAACGTTAAATTTTGAAAGGGTATTAAAATTTAATAAAAAATTAAATTTTAATTATATTTTTTTAAATGAAAATTTAAATATTAAAATAAATCAAAACTAATAATTTAAATATTAAACGCGTAGTTTATCCTATTTTAACTCACTCGAGCTGCATTTCGATGATCAGCAGTTTCAATCGCAAAACACAAGACCATGAGCTGAGAATTTAAACCACAGACCAGCAAATTAAATAAGTAAAAATGCAGTAAATATCAAACATGTCAGCCTAAAAGGTAGCCCCTCTATCCATGACGTGGATAATACGTAAACACAAAGTTTTTACGTTAAATGATAAATTTATAATATTTTAAAGAGACCGAACTTATAAAATTTTATTAAATAAAAATAAATTATTAATAAAAATTATAAAGAGATAATCTCATTAAGATCATTAGTTTGATTGAAATCAAATTACAATCAAACTAAGAGCGATAAACAAAAATAATTTACCCTAATAACTAATATTAATAATTATATTTTCATATTTTATATAATCTACCAATAAAAAGACTAAAAATCATCTCATATTCATCATATTAACACATAAACTCTTCAGCACTCTGCCTATCATTATTATTGCCAAGAGAATAGGGGGAAAAACTAATATTGATAAAAAAAATAAATAATAACTTGAACTCCATTTTTATTTTTTTGGCTTAATTATAAAATAAGTTTCAAATTATACTGTTTTTCTCAAATAGATATATATTTTTTTTTGAATCATCCAGTACCTAATATTACAAACGTTTCCATTTTAGGTATCCGAGATGTAATGGTCGCTAAAAAATCTCGTTGACTGACACATGTCACATTTTGGTAATTTTGAAATTTTTATTTTTAAAAAAAACTTAAAATGTCGTTATTATATTTTAAAAAACCTAAACTTTTCTATTTTACACAAAACACCCCACAATTCATAAAATATCTTATTATAATCCCATTTACTCCTGTCACCAGCCATCTCCGATCACCCATCCGTCGTCGAACGACTATCCATTCATTGTCGGCTACCCAATGATCGGCCATCACCGTTGCTATCATCTCAAACCTTAAAATTCTCAAATTCCTATACTTAAATCTCTAATCCCTAAAATCTCAAATATCCAATCCCTAAAACTTAATAGCTAATTTTGAAATAAACCTTAGTGATCGCCCATCATCATTGATGAATTTGTTGTTATAGATTGGAAATTTGAACTGTGAAGAAAAATATTTTTTCTAAAAAAAAATTAACAAGATGTGACACGTGTTATTTAACGATGAAATTTAACAATCATTACAATCGGACACCTAAAATGATAACATTTGTAACATTAGACACATGAATAATTAAAAAAAAATTATACACATATTTAGAAAAAGGTATAATTTAGACACTTGTTTTATAATCTATCCTTGTTTTTTTAAGGGGTTCTCATGCAATGTTTTTGGAATTGGAATCTGGAGCGGATATGGTGCCCATGATTGGCTATGTGTCGGCTCAATTCCATGTTCATATTAAACCCCGTTAATGTCGTAAAAATCTCTGTTTTATGGTATGAATCCACGGAGGCAATTATAATTTTTATATAACTTGAGCTGCATTTCAACAGTAAAATACAAGAAAATAAAGCTGATAATGTATACGACAGACAGCATGAGCAGATAAAACAAATTACAAATGCAGTAAATTCCAAATACACCAGAGAGATTAGAAGGAAGGGAATTCGATCTCAGGCCCACATTTCCCCCCTCTAGGGAAAACAGGGCACTCAATGAGGATAGACCCTGAATTGTCAAGGCACAGGTACACCTGGTAAAGCTGGCTGTTCCCTGACGAATCCCGGTTGCACTCGATCCATGGCGTGTGCCCCGTCCCTTCTTTGATCGCATCCTTAATGTTCTCCAAGCTGTATGTGCTTCCATCCGGATTGATCCCTAAAATACCCGGATTTTTACAAGGGTCCGTTTCATGATTATAATTGATTTTCGGAAAGTGATTTACCTGCGGTTTTGAGAGCTTGGAGGAGTTTTGTTTGTTGCTTCAACCCGAGTGTTGTTTCGAAGTAGTTGTGTTGATCGAAGACGGACTCGGAACAGGTCCCGTGTTTCTCCCATTCGTGAGACCAGAAGGTTTCCCCGCTGCCGCTTGGACAGGCCAGTGTCGGCCAGTTCTTTCGCATGTTACCGATGAGGTCCGAAATCTGCAACGGTTTCGAACTACATTACTCGTATTTTAACTTCAATGCATTATTTTAAATGGTGTACACAACAAATGTTAAAGCTACCTTGGATTCATCAAATGGGTTGCCAGAATCACAGTTTTGAGGGTAGGAGCCATCGTTGTAATTAGGCCAAAGTCCATGAATGCCAAAATCAACAGCAGGCTTCCCCGTTGTAGGGTAACAACAACTGCTCTTGGCTGAATCACAGTATGATCCTGGCCACTGCAAAAAAAAAAAAAAAAAAAAAAAAAGGAAAATCAAAACAATCCCAGAAAAAAAACATTTTTTTCTCAGCAACCAAACAACTCACTTGTTGAACAAAGTAGAAAAAATCAAAATCCTGGGAAACACAAACAACTGCCAGACACTGTAAAACCAGAAGATTGATCAAAAATGAAAACTTGGACTCCATACTTCTTTTTTTCTCTGAATTTTCTAGTTGATTTTGGACTTTGAAGAGTTTGAGAATGATTGATCCAGCGTTGATAAGAGCTATTTTTATAGGCATTTAATTGCAGGTTTTTGACAGATACAGTTGATAATGACAAATGTTTACGATAAGGTAACGTATCCGTTCATAATCTCGATTCCATGTTCATATTTAGCCCCCCATTAATGTTGTTAAATTTGTTGTCTTTTTAAGGTGTGAATCCAATCAGGCAACTACTGTTTAAGTTTTTATTGTTTGGAGTGCGGTTGAATGATTGGGACAACTCACCAATGTCCCAAGCGTTTATTATTAATAATATATGTTAGATGTTAGATAATGGACAGTGGGGATCGAAGAAGAAATAATTTAGCATTGAATGTTTTTCAGGATGAGAATTAGTTGATTATTTTGGTAAGTGAAGAGTAGTGACGGTGACAGAGATTAAGCGGGATTGAAGAGCTTAGAATGAAGAAACTATTATGGATGACGGCGAAATCTTTCATTTTTCACATGTCCCTTCTAGTGTATATACTTTTTAGGAAGGACAAAAATTACATGTAATTTTGTTTTGACGTATTGATTTTGCTAGCTCAGAGTTCGTTAATGGATTCAGAGTTAACTGTTGAGAGATCAAAATCGAAGGAATTGGTGATATGAGGGACTAAAATCATTTTTTTGAACCAGTGATCAAAATTGAATGAACTGAAAACATAGGAGGATCATTCGTATAGTTTATCCTTCATTTTTCTAGGAACGAACCGAACCGGAATTTTTCATCGCGCTCCAGGTACTCGTAAAAAAGCTTGGAACTTGAAAAATAAACGCGAAACGAGAAGGGGGGGAAAACAATCAGATAGGGGAGAGAGAGACCTCTGAAATTCGTAGTCTCTCCTCTCCGATCCAAATCCCAATTCAAGGGAGGGGGACAAAAAATCCATTTTTCAATCGATTATTCCGTTTCGTTTTCTTCAATTTCGATTATAATTCCAATTATTTTCCTTTAGTAGTGTTCTTAACAATTCACATGCTTCCTCTCCAACTGTTCATTTCTTGATGCGACGATCGGCGGATCGAAATCGGGTTGATTCCAAACCCAAACCCACCACCGCCTCACCCAAAATGGATCCGATTAAGTTCCAAAACCGACCCAATTCCCGATCCACCGCTCTTCTTTCCCGAAACCCTCGTCAAACCAGGCCGACCCTTTCTATCTTTGTAGTTTCAATCGTCGTGTCTCTCGCTTTGTTGGTTTTTAGTTACATTTTCCTCTTCTCATCAGCGGAGTCCACGGAATTCGGAATCATAATCGATGGCGGAAGCACAGGAACGAGGATCCACGTGTTTCGATACGGAGTTGATCGGAGCAAAAACCTGGTTTTCGACTTCAAAGAAGGGTCAGATAGCTTGAAAGTTAATCCGGGGTTGTCAGCTTACGTGGAGCAGCCGGAAGCAGTGTTGGGTTCTTTGGAAGAACTTCTGAAGTTTGGGAGGAAGAAAGTTCCAAAAGAACTGTGGGGAGAGACGGAAATTTGGCTAATGGCGACGGCGGGGCTTAGATTGTTGGATGTTGAATTGCAGGAACAGATTCTAGAGGAGTGCAGGAAGGTGCTTAGGGTGTCTGGGTTTAAGTTTCACGATGAGTGGGCTTCGGTTATTACAGGTGATACATTGTGGGTTGCTTTAGTTGTAATTGAATAAACCGACATGTGAATAGGAATAGAAGAATAGTAAGAGGTTTACGTTCATCTTTATTTATGAGAATTAGAGTACTTGACCATGTTTTGCTTTTCATCTTTTTTTGGTATCCGGGGCTTAATAAAGATCACTCCTGCTGTCAAGGCTGGAAATATTTCAGTCTTATGTTTATATTTTAGTTTCGAATCCCTGATCCATATTTTTTAGGCTAATTTTTAAATTTTCTGTCTCAGGCTCTGATGAGGGAGTCTATGCTTGGGTTGTTGCAAACTATGCACTTGGTACTCTTGGAGGTGATCCTCTGGATACGACTGGAATTATTGAACTTGGCGGTGCATCTGCTCAGGTTTGTTGTTAACTTCCTGTGTTTTGATTGAGTTAATTGGATTCTTCAACACCAGAATTCTTTTGAGCTTCTAATTAATGGCCCTAGGCATTAGAGTTCCTTGAAGCAATTTCTTCTTTTATTTTTCAATCATTCTAGTAAACATAATTTTTGCTCCTTTGAAGCTATTTCTTGTGTATTGAGAAATGATATCTCAGATTAGGTCATAATCCATAAATCTTTCTTTGTTGAACTTGTAACTATGGAGTAGGCTTTTAGTGTGAGCTATGAACTGCACTTTGTTGGCTTTCCAGAAAAAAACAAGTTGATGTCACTCCGAAAAACAGGCATTAACATGCAAAAAGTTATTGTTGTTAAAGACATTACTGATGCTTAAAGCAACAGATGTTAAAAGAACAAGAAGCTATAACTTCAACGTATTGCAAATGCATTTGATGGCATTATATTTGTTCTTTACTTGGTGCACTTGATGTATAATTTGAGAAGCACTTATAAGATCACCATTAACTCACTGTTATACTTATTTCAGGTAACCTTTGTCTCAAATGAGTTTATGCCTTCTAAGTTCTTGCGCTCCATCAAGTTTGGGAATTTCACTTACAATCTCTATAGTCACAGCTTTCTTCATTTTGGCCAGGTAACCTTTGCATGCATATCTACTTTTTTTGTTTGTTTTTATGTTTCAAATGTAGGCTTTAAAAAATTTGGTTTAACTTTCTTGCAATTCGAATGAGATGTTTGGATGTTTTTCATAAGCCAAAATCAAGTGGACTGAGAATAGTTTTTTGTTCATTAATTCTGAAAGTGATAGTGACAATAACGATATAATGCAGATCTAACTTCTAACTAGTATTAGTATTATTTCAATATGGCTTTGCATTGTGAGTTTTGTGGGATGTTATTAGAAATTCTGTCAAGAAATCCAAGGCTGGCATAAGAGCTTTTTCACTTTTTCATTTCTTTTTTCAGAATGTTGCTCATGAGTCATTGAGGGAATTACTTATTAAAGGAGATTTCAGTCCTGGTATGTTTTTCCTTATCTTCTTTCTGCCAAAGTTTTACAGGCTTAGAAGTGCTTGAAATTATGCATTGAACTCCAACTAGGAATTTCTCTCATGCTGGATTGTAATTTAATCATATCCATGAGTCTTGCAATTTAAAGCTTAAGGAAGAGATCTGGATTTGATTATGAACACTGTTTGTATATTATGGTTTTTATTATTTATGCTGGGTTGAATCTTTAATTCTAAAAGTTTTCGTTTACCTTTGGTCATTTATGGCCTATTCACGAGGGATGTATCGAAAAAGGTTGTTTGAGTCAGTTTTTTGTTGGATATTTTCATAGAATCTGTTACCTTTAATAGAGATGACATGGACTTACTAGTTAGTTAAGTAATAAGGTTATATGGCTCATTATGTTTTTTCTCACCCTAATGCAGCTGCTGACTCTCTTCACAATGAAGTGTATATAGATCCTTGTACACCTAAAGGTTACTTGCCTCAGTCATCGAATCTTTCACTAGGTTTTATGGCTGAAAAAAGTAAATATACTTCTGAACTTCAAGCTATGGGTAACTTCTCAGAGTGCAGATCTGTTGCACTAAGGTTATTACATAAAGGAAAAGGTAACAAACTCTCTTAGAACCACTGAATCTGCATTACCTTGCGCTACAAGATAATAATCATTATATATTCTGAATTGCAGAGAAATGTTACAGTTATTGCTGTTATTTGGGGTCAGTTTTCATGCCCAAGCTTCAAGGAAAATTTTTGGCTACAGAGAATTTCTTTTATACCTCAAAGGTACAACTATTAATGTCTCTGTTTCTGACTGGCTTATGTGCAAGCACATCCTAAAGCATGTGATGTTTTCTTGGATGCACCGAGTTTCTGTTTCCTAAAAGGCTTCAATTTCTTTGTTTGTCTCCTCTTGTTTGAGTAGTTCTTTAAGTTGCGCCAGAGGGCCTTTCTTTTGGATCTAATGATGGCAGGGCAACATTTCTGTGGAGAGGATTGGTCTAAATTGAAGAAGAAACACCAATCACTCGATGAGGAGGAACTGTTGCGCTATTGTTTTTCTTCCGCATATATTGTGGCCTTACTTCATGATAGCCTTGGAATTGCTTTGGATGATGAAAGGTATATTTACTGCCTTATAGTTGAGTATCTTCAAAAGCAAAGACCAAGCAAGTTCAATGACATTTTGGGCACCGTGGCTTTCCTTGATATGAAGCATATCTTTTTGCAGATCTGTCAATAGTTTTTATTACTTCTCTCACAATTGAACTTTAACTAATTGGATTCTATCATAAACAGGATCAGCTTTGCTAATCAGGTAGAAAATATACAACTTGATTGGGCCTTGGGAGCTTTCATATATTGCAAAGCACGGCCAAGTTCGAAGAAGAGGAAACTGATTGGATAACTACCATTATCAGCCGTGATTCACCCACACTATTCTCCATCATTGCCATTTCTGCAATATTGATGTTCGTTGCTTGGTCTATATCGAAATGGAGGAAACCCCAGTTGAAGACAGTTTATGATTTAGAGAAAGGACGTTATATTAGTGACTCGTATAGGCAGAAGTTGATATCATTGTCCAGAGGAGATAATAACATGCTTACAAGTTTGCATCCAAGGAGGACGACGATCCATGTGTTACGATGGTATACTATCGTTATGCTTCCTTGGTTTCCTATGCCCTCCACCTAAGGTCACAATGTGAGTGGGAAATTTAAGATTGTATATCATCAAACTCTTAACATAGGGTCGAATGTAATCATGGGGATACCGGATAGAAGACTAGATTCCAATTTTGTATATACCGGGAAGTCGTGAACCAAAAACCCTACACTATTATACCACTTGCTTGTTCATTTGAACCTATACTACAGAATCAGAAAAAAGGAGTGATGCATTAGTTGTGGAAGGAGAGGAAGGGGTTTATTTTCAGAGCTTTATCACTGCTTCTTCCTCAAATGCTGTGTTCTTAAAGTGCCTTATAATGGCTTGTTTGTTGTTTTGCTATGAAAATTTTGTTCGAATTTGAGTCTTCGCCAAAGTTACCATTTGTTTTATTTTTCTAATTATTGTTGCTATTATTGCATTTTGGAAAAAAAAAAAGGAAAACTCCATACAGTAACTCCAATCATAGGAAATTTACAAAGCTTAATTAGAAAATTTCTCTCCTATTTCTTCGTACTCTAATTTAACGCAAATTTCACATTTTTCCCGGTAAAGGTAAATATATTTAAGACTTCTTTTTCCTCTGTTTCCCATACGTTCCATAATTTCTTTCATTCTTTCATTTGTTTCGGAACCCCCGTGTTCGCTGCTCTTACCCAGCGCGATTCCATGATTCCTTTATTCTTTTGTTAAAAAAAAATTAATCGGTTGAATGAACTTGTAGAAATCGAATATTTTTTTGTTCATTTGTTGTTAAATCTGAAGAAATTATGAGTGACAACGGTCTGTTAATGCTGGAGCCCGTGCAGCCGGTGGGGTTCGATGTTGTTCCCCCAGAGGAGAATCCAAGGCCGCCGTGCTTGTCAAATTATAAGGAGAATGAGGTCGTCAAAGGTGATGAGGAGGAGCCGCTTGTTCAGTCGGCCGAGTGCCGCATTTGCCAGGATGAAGATTGCATTAAGAATCTCGAGACTCCCTGTGCCTGCAGTGGTAGCCTCAAGGTAGTTTCTTTCATTGTTATTATTTTTCATTTCTTTTTCTTGATAAGAATTCAAACCAATTTCACGATTCGGTTCAATGAACCTCATAAAATTTGTGCTAATTTCGCAATTAACATTACTTTGTTTTGGCATTTTAAAAATACTACATGAAATGAGATTTATGATGAGCATTTCATGAAATCTCTGTGTGTTTAAAATTGCAGCATGCACATAGGAAATGCGTGCAGCATTGGTGCAACGAGAAAGGCAATATAAACTGCGAGATCTGTCATCAGGTATCTACTTGGTTTAGAGTCCCCCTTCATCGATTACGGCAACTTGGTTTCATCATTTTCATTTATCGCATTATTTTGAACTAGAACATTAGGTTTTTTGTGCAAGGAACGGAAAGTTTGTGGATTTCGAAGTAGTTCCACCAGAGTGGAAGAGGCTGAAATCGACTGCTTTTAGAATTAGCCTTTGATTTACAGGGAAAACCCTTTATTTCAAGCCCCGGTTTGATACATTTAGGCTTTGAATAGCTGCCAACGCCTTGTTAACTTCTTAGTGCTATTGAAATTTGGTTGTTAATGTCTCATTGCAAAGTTAGTATGTGCTTATCATTTGCCTTGCAGCCTTATCAACCTGATTATACTGCTCTTGGATGCGTCCAAACTGAAGAAACCACTATTGATATTGGGTATGTTTGAGGGACAACTGCTCTGTATGATCTGTTTGGAAGATTCCATCTTATTGAGTTCTGTATGTCTTGTAGTGGAGTCTGGACAATCTCCAGCCCCCTCTGAACTTGCGTGATCCTCGTCTCTTAGCCATTGCAGACGCAGAACGGCAATTTTTGGAAACCGAGTATGATGAATATGCTGCATTAAATGCCAGTGGAGCTGCATTCTGTCGTTCGGCTGCTCTAGTTGTAAGCTTTTAGTTACAGAGCTCCATGTCATATTCAATTTCTAATCATGTTTAGCACGGTGCTCAACATCCTTCTTTAGGTGAATTTAACATTAATCCCTGAACATAGGACTATTATCATTTCTATTTATTAATTTACAAGCCACGTCTTGAGGAAATATTTTGATGAAACTGATTTGGAGAAAGGACTTTTCTGAGCTGTCTAAGCATTTAACTCGACAATCTTTATTTTCTCACACGGCCATGTGATTAAGAGTCCATTTCTAAAATGATTGATTTTTTCCTTCAATTTTATCAGTTAATGGCGCTTCTGCTATTGCACCATGCATTTGATGTTCCAGATGCTGACTCAGACGAAGATGTGTATACCGTCTTCTCTGCAAGTTTTTGCGAAAGCTGAATTCCGGTATTTCACATACACACTTCTGAAGCATCTGTATTGTACTCATCATCTCAATTGGAGCCATTTCTTCTTAGATTGCATGGTTTCATGTTTCAGATTTTCTTGTTTCGTGCTGCTGTAATTCTCCTACTATGCTACATCATGGCTTGGGCCATCAGTGTATTACAGCGACGAAGGCAAAGACGGGTTATTCTCGGATTACTTCTACTTCCAATTTGAAAACTTCATGTTTGTTTCTCTTCCTGAGGAGGCCCGGTTCTCTATATCTTTTTTAACCACCCCTCCTTCGCATATTTCTTCAGACCTTGAAAACCCACCATATTTCTTCAGATAGTTTTTACATTTGTATCATATCAGCATATCAGTATCAGGGTGCGGCTGGGGCTGCAACAGAGGTTGCACTTGTGCTGCAATCCGGGCAACATGGTAACTACAGTAACTTCTCAGCAGGTTAGTGTTTGAAACATGAAGCCCTGCACTTACATTATATTGGTAGTTGATGAACAATGATGATCGTTCCTGTTTATTCTTGTCCGATCGATGAATTTTTTTATTTTCTATCCATCTGCCTGAACTTAGTCCAGTCATATTAAAGATGGAGATGAATCAATCTGCTTCAGTACTAGCCTGGAGCCCCTACGCCTAATAAAAGATTTTCCAGGTATTCCCCACCCATATAGTCAATGTCCACAAGTTCAGTTTAATTCTAAAAGAGCCCTAGCTAGAGAAATCCTTTTACCATCCGAGAAACCCGGCCACCAACCACCCCTTATGCGCCGATGGCTAAAGTGTCCTGGGGCATGGCACCTAGCTCAGCTGGAGAGGCCTAGCCTGATCTGAGAAGTGTTAGTTCGGTTCCTTGTGTCTTGTATATGAGCTCTGCTCTCATTCTCTGTATCTTGATTTTTCAATTTAAATTAATTTTCTTTCAATTTTTTCACATACCGGAATCTGGTTAGTCCGAGTTGTGTTGTGTGGTGAAGTAGGGAGGAATAAACAAGATGAAGCACCAAATTGTCTTTTGTGTATCTACTCTTTATTTACGACGTTGGAATAACATTTTGGAATTGTTAAAAATGTGAAATGCTCAGACTCCACTAGTTGGTCACATCAATGGATGCCCAAACACTTGGTGGTAATCTCTTATGAAGCAAATGCAGCATATATTCTCACATGCCCTCGACCACACTTGATCATCATCTATCAGAACAACCTTAAAAGTAAATGCCAGGTAAAGATTCTGCCTTTAACTTGTGTGTTTTTGGTAGCATCCCCATTTTGCAGTCTCTGCCTGATGGAAGAAAAAAAAGCTATAGTCTGTCTCAGATTGTTTGATCTTTCAATTTTGTTTATCTATAAAATACTCGATTGTTTATCTTGAAATCGCTTTGGTTTATGATCCGATATTTGCAAAATCGAGACATCAACATCGGTGTCTTCCTCGGGTCGGAGGTTGTCTCCTGAATAGGTCTCAACCCGGGGTCGATAACAATGTTGTCGATATCCCAACCCGGTGAACTTGTCTAAAAGGCTATCGATAGATCCGATGACATCAACAAGACTATTAATCGGTTCGATTTTGAACTAAACAAGAGTTTAAGGTATGGATGTGTTAGAAATGAAACAGCGGAAGAAAAGATGAAAAGATTTATTTAGGTAAGGAAAAGAAAGGTAGGGGAATAGATGAAAGATTGGGATTTAGGAAATAGACTTTATCTTTTGTTGAAATTGCTTTGGGTATTTTGAATGGGTCAGGGTTTAAATCAAAGTCCGTCGAGGCTGCCTCCTTTGGTCTAAATCTAAGTTTTAAAAGTATACACATTTAGACCAACCTCGAGAATCTATAGCATCCTTTCGCTTTTTCTTTTCTCAAACACCAGGTTTTATTTATGTTACATTTTATTTGGGTAGCGTTTGTTCTTACCTACATCTAAGCCAACATGATCAAAATATCTAATGTTTGACGGGTTTTAACTCGATCTGATCTTATAGAATCACATTCCTTGAAATTCATGTTCCAAGTGAATGTTATAAAACAAAGAATCTAAGTTGGTATAAGATCGAGTCTCGTAATGGTTTAGGACAGCAATTCATAATTTAATTTTCTTTATATTTATTTAATTTTTTTTGTAACGTTCAATTGGATGACAAAAGGTGTAGAATCAGAACATTAATAAAGAGCAAGGTTAAGTGAAATGATATGAGCAGCCACCATAATTAGCCCCACATCTCGAAAACAAACTTACCCTAAAGTGCAAGAATTTATGCTTTAGAATGTTCCTAGCTGCATGTGACATTTTGCATATTTTAATAATAAGAAGAAATAAAGCAAAATATACATATAATCCTTCCTACATTTAAACAAATTGAGGGACAAAAGACAAGTCTTTGATTTTTGAACTGCCTCTTCTTTTACATATAATATATGTGTGTATAAACATTCGCTTTCACTTTAAATTCTCATTCTTATATTTGGTTTTTGCTTTGGTTTGCTACTGTTGCAAAGCAATCTAGCTGTTCTTAGTGGTCCATGTCCATGGCTTCTGCCTTGACCAGTCCTTCCCATTAAAGAAACCCTAACAACACCCCTTACTTACCATCAAAGGAACGTCTTTATTTTTTTAATACCCTTCGTTTAATTTGCAGCAACTTTTATCTATATCGAACATTATTATATTTTTTCAACGAGTCGTATCTCCTTTTTCATTTCTTCGCCTACCGATATCTTTAAAAGAATCCATTCGCTAATTAAATCTTTTAAAGACCTACATCATCCGATCAATCGCGATCTCACGATCTTTTGACATGACTTCTAACATGTTAATGTCATCTCTCATAGTTAAATATACTGTTAAATGGCTAATACACTGATACTAAAATTTATTTATTATAAAACCTTTTAATTGAACAAAAAGATACTAAATTCACTAGAAGAGGACACAGTTCATCATCTACAAAGTGATGTCTTGTCATTAACTAATCGATTGCGATTTTCTGTCAAAATCAATAAAAGTAAATTATCCACGATTATCACAACCTAAACATTACCATCAACAAATATATATTTGTAGTAACTATAATTCGGATTACGCACGTTCGAGAAGCCTGTCAGACAGGAATAAGTGGGTCCGGAGTCGAACGTACACTTAGGAACTGGTCGGATGATGTGGCAGACAGAACACTGTGGCAAATGATACAAATTAGAAGGAAAGCTTAAAGAAAAAGATACTTGGCTTCTTAAGGGTATTATTCCATTTCCCAAAAACCTTTTATTCATCCATGTCAGATTCTTCCAAACAACAGCCCTAATTTGCTTTAGATTATTGCAGACTTGTGATTTTTAGTGAATCCACAAACCCAATCTTCTAATGTTGGGTCCCTCCATGTCTTTAATATTGCCTTTAAAGTCCTTTCCAAATCCAACAGGACACATAAATAACAGGCTTATGTCTGCGGCAATGGAACATAACCATAGAGTGACACCAGCACAAAACAAAGATATAGTTGTCTGTCTGCTTTTGCTTCTTCTTTGTTTCGAGTTGAATTGAGTTGAACCAAAAAAAATGATTTGCAGAGTTCAAAGAGTGCTTATATTTCTTATGATTTTCGGGTTATTGGCAGTTCAACCAGTTGAAGTTTCTGGTATGAGAAATTTGGACGTCTTCAGACATGTTCAACGTGTTCTCAAGGCCGTCGACACGAAGGGAATGGATACCGAGAAGAAACCGGCTTTCGGGAACAACGGATTCGACCCGAATAGGTCGAGCAAACGAAGAGTTCGACGAGGATCGGATCCTATCCACAACAGGTCTTGAAAAACCTTGATTGACAATAAGTTTAGAGTGGTTTAGTTTCTTCAACAAGGAAGTTCAATGACCTCAAAAGTAAGTTTCAACACTTCATAGTGATGTACTTCGGTGCTGATAAAAGAATGAAGCTGGTTGAAACCTCTTTGATTCTGAGGGTTGGTTGACTGGTTCTCTTTGTTTTTCATACGTTTTTCTTTTTCTTTTTTGTTACAAAGAGCTGAGTTAATCTAATTCGAATTTCGGATAAGGGTACGTATGAATATGTCATACGAATGTCGGATAAATATTTCAAGAAAAATGAAGAGTTCGAGTAGCATAGATAGAAGATATGTGTATAGTAAAGTTACTTGAAGACAATTTCATGGAGCCGCACGAATTAAATTACCTTCGTGGTTAAAGACATTTATGTTATTTCTAGAGATCACGAGTTAGAGCACCAATAACTGCAAAGGTGATCGAACGTTCTGTGTCAATCATATGATTAAAATTACTTAGAACAGATACTAATTTGTAATCTTCTTTTATCCGATCAATGAAGCAAATGAAAAGTACAGTTTATGGTTTGAAATTTCCCCGTAATTATTGTAACATTCATAGCTTTTCTTTTTCTTTTCTATTATTTCAAGAGAAAATATCTTATATTTGAATGTCATAGCAAGTTTCTTGAAAAATATACAGTCAATTTTTCTTTATAATTCTATGTCACAAGCGAAAATTTAAATTAAACTTATATGAAAAATATAGTTACTAACATTAAAATATTTGAATTTAAATTTTGAAAACACTAATAACTATATGAACCAACCGGATAAAACTTCGAATTCAAACAAATTACTACATGAAAACTTTATACTATGACTGAAACAAAGCTAAATTTTAATATAAATGAATATTTGAGTTTCATTTTTAAGCCATCAATATAAATTTTAAAATTGAGAGATCATAGTCTAATTGTTAAAAATTTGAAATTTACAGGGACTTACAAAAGTATTTAAGCCAAAATAAATACTTATTACTAAATCTGACTACTTTGGGCTGGAAAACCAAGACAAAAAGAGCCCAATAGAGTCCGGGTTTCGTTTTCCCTTAAAGCGGGGACTGAGCTGAACTCGCAGTCAATCCAGAAACCCTAGACCGAAAACCAGGGTGCGGAGGCCTCCAAAATGGTTCAGCGGCTCACTTACCGCTCGCGTCACAGCTACGCCACCAAGTCCAACCAGCACCGCGTCGTCAAAACCCCCGGTAACTTCTTCCATTTCTCCCTCTCCCCGTAACCCAGATTCGTTACTGGGTTTTTGGTTCCTTTGAATTCATGGGAAAAAGACCGTATGATCTATGGTGCATCGACATTGTGGTGATTTATTTCCTTTCCTTTTGTATTTTTGTTGCTATTAGGAGGGAAGCTTGTTTATCAAACCACGAAAAAGAGAGCCAGTGGACCCAAATGACCTGTTACCGGCAAGAGAATTCATGGCGTACGTCGTTTCTTTTCTTAGATTTTGATTGAAATCGTTGAATTTTGAAGGATTTTGTTTTCTGGGTATGAACTTATGGAGCTGAAATGTGATTCATTGGAGATTTTGATTCATTTTTTCCTGTCAAGTTTTGATCTTTACAACATTATAGACTTAATGAACTATTCATGGCATTTCAGTTGAGATATAATGTGTGTATATGGAGGGCAAATTGGGTATGTTTCAGTTTGAGTGAAGTTTTCACCAGTTGAGCTGAAATTTGCCCTATATTTTGTAGATTCCTCACTTGAGACCTGCTGAATACAAAAGGTCTAGATTGCCGAGAAACTGAAGGACTGTGAACCGTCCATACGGCGGAGTTTTATCCGGAAGTGCTGTTAGGGAAAGGTTTGTACATTAAGACTAGTATAAGTCTTCTCGTATCCGTGCTTATGATTGCTTTCGGTGGTACAAGACTTGTTTTCTTGATTGTGAATCATTGCAGGATCATTCGGGCCTGTTTGGTGGAAGAGCAGAAGATTGTGAAGAAGGTGCTGAAGATTCAGAAGGCAAAAGAAAAGCAATCATCCAAGAGCTAGAATTTCAATGGGGTAAATTTTGGCTTAATGGATTGATAGTGAACCTTGAAATAGTAGCTTGAGATGATTTAAGATCAGTGTTTTTATGTTTTCACGTTTGGCTGTTATGAATCTTGTTCTGCTTATCTGACTTTGTCGACGAACCATCTGTGTTGAAGTTTTGCTTTTTTGGAACATTCACTTGAATGCTGTTCTCCGGAAATTCATATTTCAGCCAAAAACTCGTCATTACCGAGTTATCTGATCGCCTCTAAATGACATACATTGCTCCATTCATTTCATTATAAAATGTTTGTTGCAGAAGAATGACACATTCTGATCGCCTCTAGATAGCAGCCTGAACTGATTGTTGCAGAAGAATAACAAATTAGGATTCATTTGTACATTGTTAGTTTAATATATGTCAACATTTTAAACAAGAATACATGAGCACTAAACGAACATGTACATTAATATTAAACTAATAAAACATACATAATTTCGAGCAAACATAAATAAAATTATGAAATTTTTAACAAACACGAATCAAACATAAATAAATTCATTCTTGATCAATTTAAGACGCACAAGCGACTGTACTGGTACTTAATATCATTTTACGAACACCAAGATTTGAATTAAACTTATAGTTGAATGACAAAACCTTGTAGATAAGTTTTCAAAAACATCACTGATGCATTTTTCTATGGACAAAAGTAAGCATCAAGTTTAGTAATTCAGAATATAGGAATATACAAATAACAAAAGCAGTGTGGTTTACCGATATAAGCAAAAAGCGCTGTCAGTATATTTTACGCAAGAAACTGAAAGGATGCTCAGTCTAACCAATTTAATCATCCTTTAACTCTTTCCTCGGCCGTGCTTCAAATCCCCCTTCTGCTCTCTTCTCGAGCGAATAAGGCATGTGCGTTCCGAGAATTCTATCCCACATGATGAAGAATGGTTGCGAGAAGTTGTATTTGGTACCATGAAGCTGATGGTGGATATCATGATATGCTGAATTGTTTCTAAAGAAAATATGGAAGGGGTTCCCGGGGAGCATTAACCCACAATGGTCATCCACGGTTTTCATGGTAGCGAATGAGAAGAAAAATATGGAAGTTCGAGGAGACATGCCGGACAGGAGAAACGATAGGGCACCACCTATTGTGTCGCCGAGAAGCCCCTCCACTGGATGATTGTACAAAGCTCCAAATGCATAAGGAACGACGAGACGATGATGCAGAGAGTGAACGTGTCGGTACAAGAACTTGTTCTCGTGCATGTATCTATGCAGAAAATACTGCCAAGTATCCAGAACCACCATTGCCGTGACAAACTGTCTAACTAGAACAATAAAGGAAGTTGACTGTAGTACAGAAGCCCCATCATCACCCCCTGCGACCTGCAAATTAAAAAGTTCGATAAAACTATATACAACCGAGACAATTTCACAGCTGAAACTGCTTATAAGGCGCATTATACACTGGCAAAGATAGGGATGTTCAAGTTCAATTAACAGAAATAAAACCAGTCAACGAATCAACTATAGATCATGAAAGTTAAAAGGAGCTCTCGAACACAATATGAGCGTTTCATCATGTGAGAAGATACAAAGAAACTTACGAAATCATTCCTAAAATAGAAGGAACTTTGATGTGGCTATCATACCTGTTAAATTAAACTTTCGACCAATAAGCTAGATATCACAAACACAAGCCGTAAGAGAGTATATATCCGCATTTATTGCGCCTACCTCAAATCTAATTAAGAAGTTTCAAGACAGATCATTCAGCATACATGCAGAATAACAGTAAGATTATAGCTGAAAACTCATAATTATAATGACAAGTCAAAGCTGTGTTACCCAAGCATGAGGCGAGTATTGGACATAAGTATCTTAGCTCATATTGTTAGAAGTCTTCTCATAGAATTGGAGGATTGTACTTAAATACACATGTCTGAATATGTATTATACTAGCTTAAGATTAGTGTTCTCATGGCTACCTAAAGCTTAAAATTATCCATCCAAGCTTTGTAATCAGCTTGAGCAAATACATCACATGCAGTGGAGTGATCCAAATAATTAACTCCAATCTCTTCTTCATATCTTTGCAAAGTAATTAAGTGTAAGAATCTGGAGCTATGCTAAGAAAGATTAACGAAGTCTTATAGCCTATCTTACTTTCTAATTAAGCATCAAAGCAAAAGTAAAACAAAAAGTCATACACATAATAATAAAATTCAACGATGCACACATCAAGGTAAAACAAGACCGCACCGAAAAAATTCCAACTACATTTAGATTGTGAAAAACCAAATCAATAATAAAAAAAGTAAAAGAATGAACAAGTGTTTCAGCAACGATTTACCGCAAACAAAAGGATGGCGACGACAGCCTGAACTGCCTGCTGCAGAAGGACGCCTTTGACGACAGTTGGTTTGGAAACCAAATTCTTCTCATCCTCGTCGCTTACTGAATGCAATCTATAGCTCTCAAAAGATCCTAAACACATATAAATTCCGGAATAAATCCAATAGACAACAATCGGGACGATAGTCCCCAATAACTCGTCAGATATAGCGAAGCCCATCTCCTTGTACTAAACAAACTTCAAACAAAACACATGAATTTGTAAGAAGAGAAGAAAAGAAGTTCGAAGCTAATGGCTTAACCCAGAATAAGTCAAAATCGACGGTTTACTCAAAGAAAAATAGCTAATAATTGTTTTGGTCAATGATTAAAAGTCTAAGCGCTTGGGAAACAGCTATACATAAAGACGAAGAAAGACAGATGGATCAAAGTTCTTATTAGAAGTTGGAATGAAAGAGGAAAATTCCAAATAAAACAGAATTGGGGGAAAATGACGAAGGCATAATGTTAAAATATCATGAGAAGTGATTCGGTGCGTACGGCTCTATTGTGAAAAATGTTGTAACAAATTGTGATCCTTCGATTTCTGATTTCTTTTTGTTAAGTTGATCCGACGGTTCTAAGAACAATTCCTTTTATATCAGGACGGACCCGAGCGAATCTATACCCAATGAGAATTTATACCTACTAGTAGTTTCCAATTGAATGACACGTAACTAAATAGTTAAGGATAATCTTTCATCTGTTTGGAATATTATATATTCAAATAAATTTTATTGCTTATTAATTTATAAAATAAATTGATATTCGTATAATAACAAAATTTATTATGATTTTTTATTAAATATTTAATTTGAATATTATTTTAGAAATAATGTAGGATAAATTATGCATTTAGCACTTAAACTATCAATTTTGATCTATTTTAGTACTTAAATTTTCATTTTTTTCAAAATAATACTTAATGTTTAGTTTTAATTTCATTTTAATACTTATCGTTGAAAAAATTAAATGGGTGATTTTCCCGTGACATCTTTTTTATGAGTAAATTATATCATTCATCACTCAATTATCTCTCACTCCTATTTTACTCACTAAAATTTAAATTTTATAATTTAATTATTTAACTTTTAAATTATTCTTATTTAATCACTCTAACTTTCAAATTTATTTTCTTATTTATAATTATATATTATTTTTTGACAAATTTAATTATATATTAAAATAATAATAAATGTCATGTCAAAAAATTATTAATAAAATAAATTAGTGTGATTAAAATAGAAACAATTTAAAAATTGAGTAGTTAAATTAAATTTTGTAAACTTTAATACCAAAATAAGAGTGAAAAGATAATTGAGTGATGAATGATGTAATTTTACCTATAAAAAATACAAGGCCGTTAAATTTTTAACGACGAGATATTAAAATGAAACAAAAATTAAATGTTAGATATGATTTTAAAAAAAAATTAAAGTACTAAAACATACAAAAATTGATAGTTCAAGTGCTAAACGCAAAATTTATCCAATAATTTAATCATTTTCAGTACTTTTTTTTAAAGATAAAAAACAAGTAAAAACCAACTTTTGCAATCGAATCTTAACGTAAGACATCGTTTAAGCTAAAACAAGGGACCTGTGAAGGCTGTGATTGCACATCCAGTAGCCTTTATAAAGGCTACAGAGAAACATATTGAACAGGTAATCCAGAAATCAATAAACATTCAAAGTAAATTGCTATTTTGATGTGTTTGTTGATGATTCTTCAGTCTCACTGCTGCCATGAACAAGCTGGCAAAAAAAGTGTCTAATAATCTGTTTTAACAAGCTGCGCTTGGGATCCAATAACATTTTCCTCCCCTCTTCTTTCTTTGAGATGTTCATAAGTATGGAACCAACATGATCAAAAGGGTCATCTTGTAAGCATGTAAAAAAAGGATGTGAGGTCAACATTTGAACAAGAAATATATATTACGAATACAAGTATACAAGGCTACAGATGACTTAAGCGAGAAAAGATGTAAAACACACCACTGGTTTCACTTGATCTACAGAATGATCTTACAAGCTTCATTACATAAAGCCCTTGCATCTTGTCATCTCCAATCTAAAAAGCACAAAAAGTCCCCTGCTAAGTGATTAACGATTCCCAGAGATAAGGCAGAAAAAAATAATGATAATGAGATGAGAAGCAACATATAAACACACACACAACATTCAACATAAATCTCAAAAAAAAATATATATGAACTGTCCCAATATTCATGCAGATTTAAGAAAGGATTAATAAGTCATAGGACATGACAAAAGCACCTGAAGCGAAGACGAAACACCATCATTCAACTGTGTTATATTAACAAGGAGCATAACCAGCAGCCGAGTAATACTAGAGCCTGGTTTATACAACAAATCCATGGCTATTTTAATCATCCCCATTTCAACCATCTTGGCGGCCAATCCTGCATTTTGGGACAGATTTACGAGAGCTTCAGCAGCTGGTTCTGAAACTTCCTGCAACATTGATGCATGAGACAACCACTCCATAAAACAAAAAATTCAAAAGAGAGCTACTTGTGTTAATTGATTCAAACATTTTCAATGAAATCACTTAACTGACAAGCACTAATGATTAGCTAAAGAAAGTTTTGTGAAAAAATAAACACCTTGTCGTCAGCCAAAAGCCGAGACAACGATGGAAGCACGGAGCTGGCATAGTTGGAAAGCGAGTGCAAGCCATCCTCAGACCCTGTTAATCCTCGCACAATATCGACTGCTGCCTTCTTCACCTACACATATCACAATCAATAAATATCACTACAAGAAATTCAACTGAGCTAAGAAACAGTAACAACACTTATTGGAGAAACTTCTATATAATTATAAATTCAACACTTTGAACTCTACAAGTTGTAAAAGGAACAACCAAAGCTGGGATTTAAATGGGATTTTGCTGTATGAAAATGAAATGAACCGAAAATGAATCGTTTAGCGTAGTTTTGCTGATAAGTAAGTAAATATAGAGTACAACTTGAAAACAGGTCGAGTAAAAGAGAAAACCCAGATAAATTATAATAGATTTTTTACATCAAATCGAGGCGACTTTTAGGAAGCAAAATAGAGGGTTAAATTGAACAAATGGAAACTTACAGGAGGAGAAGGGGCAGTGAGGAAGCCTAGTAGCTCTTCCAGTTCGGTCGCCATTATGTTTCTTCTGTTGATGCCTTTCGACGGTGAAGCAGCGCACAATTTGTAAATCGGTGTCCTCAAAACGACTTCGTTCCATATTTCATACTAGGGTTAATGCACCTTTTGGCCCCTGCCTTTTTCTGTTGCAATTTGGCCCCTCAATTTGGCTTTGAACTACAATTTGACCCCTTATTTAGGCTTTGGGTTGCAATTTGGCCCCTAACCCTTTTTGTAGGATTTACTTTAGTTTTGATATGTATTTTGGCTCCTGAGTATTTTTTGCACAATTTTAAAATATAATTATTTTTATAATAAAAATTATCTAAACCGGTAAGGATTATAAGTTTTAATTCAATATAAATTCCAATGTTATCAAAATCGGATCGGACCGGCCGGTTCGGCCGATTGAACTGGGAACCGATTGCATATCTGGTCCGGTCAACCTCCAAAACCAGTTTTGCAATGAACCGCTAAAGAACCGGCGGTTCACACAATTCTATTTTTTTAAATTAAACCAAACGACGTTGTTTGTTATGATTTTTTTCAGCCTCAAATTTATTTTCTAATTTTGCATCTGGGTTAAGCCATTTTCACGAACGTTTGCAAGGGTGAACCCTATCCCTTTTTCACTTTGGGTTCCTTCATCACTGTTCCGTCTCCGATATCATACTCCCTCAACGGCGTCGTACTCTGTCATCAGCAACCTACTCCATCACCGACGCGCTCTACTCGTCTTCCGCACAACATCACGACATCATCTTCGTCTCGATTCCTACCATGCCTCAGCCACAAGTGTTTTCTTTAATCATAATTTTTTTAGGTTTTTGTTTGTGCTTGATTGAGCCTGCTAATAATGTTTACTTGTTTAGTGTTCATGTTTCTACTTTTCCTAATATTTTGGAATTTGAGGGAATCAATTTCAATGACTATTATGATGATTGATACTTGTATCAATTATGTACTTTTTTATTTAGTTGTTGATGAATTTCATTAGGTATTGACCTTAAATATTATGTCGTAGTTAATTTAAATCATTTTGTTTCACTTTATATTATGATATTTAACTTATATATGTTATGACTTGTGATATTTTTTATACATTTTAATATTGTGAACTTAAAAAGAGTGTTATATATATATATTGCTTTGAATATTATGTAAAATTTTTAAAAATATTATTTTATATAAACCGGTTCATCCCCGATTTAACCACGGTTGAATCAGTACCTTCACTGGTTTAAGGTCCGGTCCGATTTTAAAAACATTGATAAATTCAGATTTTGTTGGTCAAATAATTCAGACAAAAAAATATAGATGTTAAAAAATTAATTTGAATCTAAATCATTTATTACAATGTGTTTAAATTTCTCTTATGAAAAAACGAGTACTATAAAATATAATAAATAATTAGAACTCGTTATATGAACATAACGATTTTCGTACAATTTTCGTCCAGTACATTGACGAATTCTATTTGTTAATATAATTTATAAAAATTATCATGTGGACATAAAAAACTTCACGTGTACTATACTAAAATTAGTCTTGATTTCAAAATAATTTTTTTAACGTACATATATTTCAAAGTGAAAATCGCTCACAATATTTCTAAATTTTATTGAAAAATATAAATTTTAACTATGAATTTACATTAAAAGAATTTAAGGCCAAATTGCACCCAACAAAAATTTAAGGACATATTTTTGTTCAAAGGTTTTGAAGGTTGCATCCAACATTTTATAACATTTAACGGTGAGAAATTCAATAAATCATTATTCTATAATCGAAGATTATTTATATATTTTGCTCATAAAAATAAAAATATGGCATTAAAGAAAATGATTAATTATAAAATAAGTGTCCAAACTATAACGTTTTTTACGAATATATTTCTAAACTATTTTGAATGATCTTGGTGTCTAACGTTATAAAAATCATCACTTTAGGTGTCTTGGCCGTCAATCGTATTAATTTTCTCTGTTAAGTGACACGTACCACAATACGATAAGTTTAAAATTTTTATATATAATTAAAAATTAAAATTATATTTTAAAAAATACACTATTTTTGAAATAACTCTAAAACTTTGAAAACCTTCATTTTACCTCTTAAACTCAAGGCACCCGTCGCCCTTTTTTCGTCGACGAAGTTTCACCTGATCTCACTTTTTCGGTGATTTGACGTTTTATACCCTGTGAAACAGAGGATAAAAATCACGATCTCAAGTGATTCTGACGGCTAATTCACGACAACTACAACGATATATGGTTATGAGAATGATAGAGACTACTGGCCGAAAAGTCGGCAATAAAATATTTTTTATGAATAAATTTTAAAATTATTGGATTGTGACATATGTTAATTAACGAAAAAATTAATATTGTTTGACAATCTTAACACCTATAATTAATAACTTTTGTAATGTTAGACGAACATCATTTGAAAAAATAATTTAAACCCTTATTCAAAAGTATTATAGTTTATGAACTTTTTTTATATTTAAGCCTAAAGAAAACAGTGGGCGGCAAGGTCTATAATTGATCGCCTGAGTAGAGGGGAGCACGGAAGCAGAGCAATCCAGTTGAGAAAATGGAAGCTTGTTTGACCAAATGCTGGCAATGGCAAAGCAAGGGTCTTTTCACGTCACTCAACTCCGTTCGCCGCTCGTCCATCTCCACTCACTCTGGTTATATTCCCTTTCCTTTTTCTACTTAAATTAATACAAAACCATCTTTTTATTTCTTAATTTGGACTCATTTGCAGTTAGAAATTCGGTTAAAAGAGCATACGATGGGCTGCTGTTGGACGCCGCTGGCACTCTCTTGCAATTGTCCAATCCTGTAGAAGACACTTACGCTTCCATTGGAGCTAAATACGGTCACTTTTTCTTTATTATCCGTTTATCGTTATTATAATTATTTCTTAAAAGATCTTAGAGACTTTTCAATCTGGGTTTTTCCTTGTTTCTTGATTTAACTCTTGAAATTATGGTATTCTAGTATAAAGTTTTTATTCAATTTGACAAAAACAAAAATCCTCTCTTTTAGGTCTGAAGTTGAATTCAAATGAAATAAAGCAAGGATTTAGGAGGGCTTTCGCTGCCCCCTGGCCTGATAAGCTCCGTTATGAGGTTCCTTGTTTACTTTGTTGCTCTCTTTATTTTGATACTCTAATTTAGGATCATTGGATGAGTGTAGATTGAGAGTTTTTTACAGAAAAAAACCATAACCTCAACATTCAGTTTACACCCGTCCAATGGTTCAATCTTTGTATGGTTGCAGATTCGACTTTCATGGTACATGCTATGCTACAATATATTTTCTTTAAGTAGTTGTAATTTCCCTTTGCTCTTGTGTTGTATATTGATAGGGGGATGGAAAGCCATTTTGGAAACTTGTTGTCTCTGAGGCCACTGGTTGTTCCGATGACGATTACTTTGAAGAAGTCTATGAGGTAATCTTTAGGGGCTTGCTTTTCCATTTTCATGTCCTTGAAGCTGCACTAATGAATAGAAATATAGAATTTCAAGAACTTAAGTGGCTGCTATTTAGTGACTGTCTCAACTGCAAGTAATTAGACCAGCGGCTCATTTTATGTTAAGTCTGAAGTAATTAGTGACTGTTTTTCAGCATTATGGCAATGGCTATGCATGGCGTCTTCCGGATGGAGCTTCAGAAACAATATTCCATCTGAAAAATGCTGGAGGTCATATTCATCAAGTATTCTTCTTCTTTTACTTTTGAAACTGATAATGGTAATACAAATTGCTTGGAATACATACTTTTTCCCCACCAATTCATTTCTCACTTGGTGAGTGATGGTACAGTTAAAGTGGCTGTTGTGTCCAATTTCGACACCCGATTGAGGAACGTGCTGAAGGAACTCAATGTCATAGATCTGTAAGTATCAAGTTCTTTGTCAATGCTGTTTCCTGTGCTTCTTAACATCAAAAACATTTTTAATTGTATCGATGATTCATGAGGCTGCTTATGAATTTTTGCTGGTTTTCCCCTTAATTAGCAGCGATCATTTCTTTTTACTCTTAAAACTTGGGATGCATCTTTTGTTATAGTTAGCATGGATTCACTGTTTCTCTTGTTTACTGCCTCATTCTGAGCTTGTGATGGCTCGTACAAACCTTTCGTTCCATACCTCTATCTCGTTTTACACTTCTACTTTCGTGTTAGATGCCTGAAAGGAGAAAAATGGCTTTTGTTTCAACCATTCAAGCCATTCATATAGTCGTCTTTACGTTTGATTTGCAACCCATTTTTTCTTCATTTTCAGGTTTGATGCCGTAACTATATCTTCGGAGGTTGGTTATGAAAAACCTGATGCAAGGATATTTAAAGCTGCTTTAGGTTTGTATTAAGTACCAAAGTATATCTTACTCATTGGTACATAATCCATTTAACTGTTACCAGAAACTTAGTAGTTTCACTAACATGCCCTGCTTGGCTAAATTAACGTTAAAGATATCTCTGTGTAGATCAAATCGATATGGAGGCCAACAAGGTGGTACATGTGGGGGATGATCTAAAGGCAGATAAGGTGGGAGCCAATGCCTTTGGGATCGAATGCTGGTAAGTTATCTTTCTACTAGTATAAAGACGTTCTTTGAGATTGCCATCAAAATCCAACACAACAAACTTCCATTTGAAACCAAAGTGCTTCATATTCGAAACTGATTACGCATATGTATTTTCAGTCGAAAAAACAGGTTGAAAACATTCAGTCATTTGTTTCGTTCTACTTTCTTCCTATATGTCGGTCATGATTACGTACACGAAACTATCCTTTTATCTTTATCGTGCAGGTTGTGGGGGAAAGACGTAAAGACATTCGCGGACATTCGGAACTCAATACTCGTCTCAGATTCATAGCTTCGGGAAAATAAAGCTTTTGATCAGATTGCCAGGCATGTAATAAAGTGTTAACAAACATGGAACAAACTATCTTTCAAAAACCCTAATATATGATCATGTCCATGAAAGGACTCATTGCATAAAATCCCCAATGTTTGATATTAAGTGGGAGGCTGGGAGCCATTGCATTATTAATATCATTGTTTGATAATGATCAATGACTAACCATTTAAACTGATATATACTTTCAAGTCTTGATTAATACCAAATTAAGAGTTTATTCATTCTTTTATTAGAAACATATAAATATTAAATTTATACATAAATTTTGATCTAATATATACTTTGATACATAAATATTAATTTTGAAGGTGGTCACCTACGGAGTGATCATGTCGAAATAGAGCGTTTTGGGATCCGAAAACACAAGACCATAGAAGGTGACAATGGGATCCCAACGTCGAAATTAACTTGTTCCAACCTGGAGACAAGGTCGGAGCTGCCGCCCTAGAGAGCTCCACATAAGCGGAGCTCAACCAAGGACCACCACACCGAGGTGGAACTACTCGATACGATCGACCATGGGTCGATTCCGGAGAACTTAAATCCGATCCCGACGACATTTTGGACGTGGTAAATTCTAGTAATCATGTCATCAGCGGGAGTGGCGCTGCCGATCCTTTGCGGACATTGCCTTCAGCTACAATGAATAGTAGTAGTGGTGAATCTAGAAAAAAAAAATTAGAGTGAGTTCACTAATAATATAAAATTTTTATATCCAAATAGATACAATAAAATTTCAAGGTGGGTACAATAAAATTTCAGGGTAAGCATACATATAAATTAAGAGGGAAAAATTCGAATTTTAAGAAGAAAATTTGAATTTCAAAAAATTTCAGGATGGAAACGTGTCTACCCTAATCACAATGTACGTCTGCCACTCTATAGGAGCACTATGTCTAGTAGGTACATTTTATGAATTTCGCTTCTCCGAACTCTCTCTTGCCTAGACAACAATCCGGTTTGGGAATCGATCACGAATTAGTTATCGACACTCGTTTAGGCATGCTCGCAGTACTAAACACGTTTATGTTGATTCTCGGAACAAATGTTTCAGAATCTTGTCAATTGTGAATGGAGAAAACTGGATTGGGAGGGTCACTCATACCTCTGTAGTATCTGATAACATAATTAGTTATTTATAGTAAACTACCTATTTAATTACTTATTATCGTTCTATATTGTTTCTGTTTTGGTCATCTATCATTAGGTTTTGCCGTTATCATAATTGAAGATATAACATTGGTAAATAACAATTTTAGTATATAAAACTTATACATTCTATCAAATTAATCTTAATTTGAACTAATTAAAAAAAATCCTCAACATTTAAAGATTCTATCAATTTTATTCTCATTTTAATTTAAAATATTGTATTAATGTATTAATATTTTAACAATAGTTTATATAATTTATTAATAATTTAATGACCTCTTTCAAAACTGTCAAAGTTTAAGGACTTATTGTGTGAATGCCCCTTTATATTTTATTTTCATATTTGTGGATCATCCTATCGTTCTCCATAACCACACACTTCGAACACCATCTTTTTGTCGTTACCATTATTTTTCCTCTCTTTCTGTCTCTCTCATAAGCACCTGACGTTTGTAAGTGATCAACGAGGGGTGTATGATCGACGTGGAGAGACGACTCGATGACTGAGCAAACATGCTGCAACTACAATCAAGATTTGAGAGAGATTTTGGAATTTTATGTTAGACAAAATTAAAGGATTTACAAATATTGAGGTTTTTTTTAAAATTATTTTAAATTATGATCAATTTGATAGAATGTGTAAGTTTAAAGGACTAAAATTGTTATTATATCATGTCATATCACCACTTGAAATTAAGTCAACAATCAAACTTTAATGGTATGTCATCAAAATAGAAATGTAACTTTAACTTTAAGTATGATTTAAAAAATAATAATTTAGTGACCAAAACATTAAGTTTTTTCTCCCCTCAATTTACAACATTGCTTGTTCAGTTTTTTTTTTCAGTTTTATTCGCAGACGACGTCATTAGTTTCGATATTGACCGTAAGAGTGTTCATTTTTTGGTTTCAACTGAATTAAAGAATCGAATCAAATTAGTTCAATTAATTTAGTTGACTACCGAATTAATTCAGTCGGAGAATGGTTAATACTTTTTTTAATATTCATTAATGCGATTTGAAATCGGTTAATTAACCGAATTAATCAAAATCATTAAACATTAAATATGTGATATATATTAAATATATATTTTAAGTTCAAACTCATTAAAAATTATGAACTTTTAACTACACTAGACTCATTAAATTATCAAATTGACAATACCTAATTAAATTTTAATCCAAATAAAAATACTTATGTTATATTCAAATTAATCTAATTAAAAAGATTATTAATTTTTTTTAGTTAATTTGGTTAATCAACCGAAATAATCGAACTTTATTTGGATCCGTTAATATTTTTAAAAAAGTCTGGATCAGTTAACGGTTAAAGAAAAAACCGATTAATTCGGTTAATAAAAATTCAATCCAGTCAGTGGTCGAATTAATCGTTTGAACACCCCTAATTAATCATCAGCTATCTATATTTGTTGTTTTCTTTTATTTTCTTATATCATATTTTTATTTTCCCTTTGTTCTTTTAGTTTTTAATAACTTGTGTTTATGATACACTTTTCTTTACCTTTTGATATGTTTTTAGTCTTCTTCAGCTGTCGTTTGACCATTCTTTTCGTTCAAGAGGGTTAATTTCGGCGTTGTTCGACTAATCAAGATGATGCTTATTTGTTATCCTGTTGATTTTTCCTACTTTGGATCTTCATATTGGATTTGGATACACAATTTGCGTTCAGAGATAGTACTTACAATGTTCGATTTTGATTTGTGATTATCGGTGCTCTATCAGTAATTTGATCCCATGTTGTAGTTCGTTTTTCGATGCAGTTATATATGTTCATATATATATATATTGTTCGAGTATTTTGAATTGGTTTTTAACCTTTTGCTTGTATGGTCATTGTTTTGATCTCAAATGATTAGTTTCTTGTGTTAATGGTTATATAAAAATGTTCTAATTATGTGTTTAGTTTACGTTTACAATTATAAACTCATTATAGTTTTAAATATTTTATCCTTTTTAATAAAATTAACTATTTTTATTTGCATAAAAATTATAATAATATACATTTTAATATAGAAATATTTTTTTACAGCAGAATCGGGCTTTAGGGCTGTTCAGGGTCTTATTAGCTAAAGCCCATGTCTTCTTCTCGACGGACCAGTTGAAAGACCACCGCCATGTTTGCTTTATAATGGAATTTTTCTTATTGTTTTAAGTACGTGTAAATATTGGACATGCTTTTCACATTGTTAGAGAAGTCGGAAACTTATTGTCGGAAGGGTCGATATAAAATTTAAAAGACTGAGGGGTTAAATTGAGTTATTAAATTTTTTTAGGGACAAAAATAAAAATTTTACCATATAATTACATGTACAATTATTAAAAAGAAAAATCATGGGGCCATGGCGTGGCGGAAGATTTTCTATCATAATCACGTGTCTGATTAAGTCATGTATAGTTTTTGAGACACTGACTGTGACCTCCATTATTAACCGTTTCTGTTGTCTTCCTGCCTCAAAAAAAAAAAAAAAATCCTTCATTTTTTTTTCTTTTAAGCTGTCAGTTAATTAACTGAAAAACAAAACAAAACATTACATGTGATTTTAGTTTGGGTTTTATTGTCGAAATGAAAGATTTATAAATATTTTTTTAAATAGACACGTATATATATTAATAATAAAATATTTTCGTATGAGGTAGACATAAATAAAATTTTAAGATGAACACTTTTAATAAAATAAACAATTAACATAAAAAAATTCGGATTCTAGAGTGAACATGTGTCCACCTGAATTTCGCTTGCCCCCTTTACAACACTAATTCATTCTTGTTAGGGTTTCTACCCATCTGGTTTTAAATATGAACATTGCTGCAAAAGAATGAACTTGTGCTGAAGCCGAAAAGGCTTTACAATCCAAACGAGACAACTGGCGAACAACAGGTTTCCGTTTGTTGTTTTTTTGTCGTTGGAAAACATCTTCGGTGCAAGAGGCTAATGACTCACATGGCTAGTTCCATTTGAAATTGATTTTGTCTAGACGTAACGGATCCAAAAATATTTTTCAAGATAAATACACATTATCGATACAAAACTTTTGAATATGAGACGAATATAAATAAAATTTCAGGGCAGACGCTATTAAGAATGTAGATAACTAACCAGAAGAAATTTAAATTTTGGGATGGACACGTGCTCACCCTAAATACTATATATATCCGCGGTTGTCTAGGCAAATGACTGTTGTGAAAAAAATTTAAGTAAACTACGTATTTAGTATCTAAACTATAAGTTTTGGACTGTTTTAGTATTTAAACTTGTATTTTTCAAAACCATATCTAACGTTTAATTTTTATATCATTTTAGTACCCATGTTAAAAACTATTTCATTTTAGTACCCATGTTAAAAACTAACGCGTTTACTACTTAAACTATCAATTTTAATCTGTTTTAGTACATAAATTTTCAAAAAAAATAATCAAAAATCAATGTTAAATTTTGAACATGAGTACTAAAATTTTCAGAACGTTAATGATAAAGAAAATATTACTCTGAATAAAAGATTCGAATTTGAGTGGAAAGTGTTTCATACCAAGTGTGCTTACGGGATATGATTTTAGTAAAATAATTACTGACTATCTTGGATTCTATAAACTAAATACCTCTCGGTAAAATTTTTCAATGGGTCATGCAAATGGAGAACAAAAAAGATAACACATAAAAAATTTTGATGTGACAGTCTACGGTGCCAACATAACAGTTTAGAGTGATTATTTAATATGTTAGATTGAATAAATTGGTAACTTAAATATGACAGACTAATTGTCTCATAAATATTATGAACTTACATGTCAATATTATAGTAATTAACGATTAAAAATGTTGATTAAAATATCACATTAATTTAAA